TTTCCTTATTTTTCCATTGACATTCGCCTTTCACCCCTATTTACGCTTAGTCAGAAGGGCACAAGACTGTGGGAAAGCTTAGTCAGCACAACTAGTGACTCCCAAGTCATCATGACCACCAAGCCTAGCAACAACACAATCCCCCTTTTATGTACAGTCTTGGTGCTCAAGGACAACGAGTACCATGGACACAGACAGACATAATAAGTAGTGATATAATTAGGACCATCTGTATAGTATTTAAGACTGATGCTCTTGCTGGTAAAACCCCAGCTTCGAGCTAAAGTTTATACATGCCATTCTATCTCGAGTCTTCTTTTGACCTTGGGTCACATCAGACGGATACATACCAAGTGAACTCAGGTGATTCCTCGAAGTGCGAAGGAACACCTGTTTATCATGTGTATCTGTTCACGTGATGCTTGAGCCTAACACAATGGTGCTGCCCTTCTTTTTCATTAAAAAGAAGGATGAGAAGCTATGACTGGTTCAGGACTACCAAAAGCTGAATGAGATGATGATCAAGAATCACTGTTCCTGACTGCTTATCTCCAAACTGATAGACAAACTGCATGGAGTCTAGTACTATACCAAACTCAACATGAGGTGGAGATACAATAATATCCAGATCAAGGAAGGAGATGAGTGGAAAGCAGCTTTCTAAACCAACAGGAGACTGTTTGAACCAATGGTAATGTTTTTCAGGCTCATTAATTTGCCTGTGACCTTTCAGTGTGTTAGACCTAACTGGCACATGACCTGTACATGTGATAAACTAGCACTGTATCATGTTTGTACAGTCATGCTAGAGTCAACTTAATGTGTTATATCAGGCAAAGTGCTTCAAGGCTGAAGACAAGCTAGACTCAAGAGAAGATAGTGTGGAATAAACTTATAGCTTGAAGCTGAACTACTACAGTGAGAGTTATCCTACTTATATACTGTCCAGATTATGATAAATATAACTACTGCCTTTTTGTACTGTCCTGCACTATGCTGCTTATTCTGTCTGGTCATCAGAGAATAGACAATGGGGAATTGTTCATGAATGAGGCAACTGAGTACAATGGCACTGCCTGTCTGTTGTGATTACATGATCTTCCCCACACTCTCAGTAAGCACTCAGGATAAGATAGATGCTCTTGATAAGATAAAAAGTGAAAAATAATAAGATAAGAGAAAATCATAACACAGTGGATGATAAACAACATCTTTAAGGATTTCATCATCACTGGAAAGGTTATGATTTATTTCAATGACATTTTGATCATGTCTGATGATCAGAACAAACACCATTGACTCATCCAATAAGTCTTTGCATTAATGAGAAAGCACAAATTATTCTTTAAAGTAGAGAAGTGCAAGTTTGAAGTGCTGGAAACAGAGTACCTGGAGATCATCATCAGTGAGAGGAGTATTCACATGAACCTGATCAAAGTGCAGAACATAATGGAATGGCCAACTCTCATGAAAAAGAAGAAACTCTAGTCATTCCTGGAGTTCATGAACTTCTACTGATGATTCATCAAATATTATAGCTGGATTGTCCAACCCATGACTCAACTGATGGAGAATGCCCTATGGATGTGGGGAATGCCACAGGAGAAGACATTCTAATGACTGAAGAGGCTGCTGGTGGAGAATGTGGTGCTAGTAGTACCAACAAGAGAAGAGAAATTCTGAGTGGAGGCTGATTCAAGTGATAGAGCTATCAGAGCCATACTCTCTCAGAAACAGGAGAAGAAGTGGTGGCTGGTTGCATTCCTATCCAAGGCTCTTACAACCACAAAAAGAAACTACAAGATCTATGACAAAGAGCTCCTCATGATCATGCTTATCTTGGCCAAATAGAGACATTATTTGATTAGTGCAACACAGAGGTTCAAGATCTAAACCAACTATCAAAACCTTCAATACTTCTAACTCCCACAGAAGTTAAATTGATGACAAGCCTGATAGATCACTAAGCTGATTGAATATGATTTCCTGCTCCAGCACAAGGCAGGAATGGCCAACAAGAAGGCAGACCTGCTTAGTCAATGAGTAGATCATGATCAGAGTAGAGATGACAATGATGAGATAGTCATGCTCAAGGCTGAGCACTTCAGAGCAATGCTTATGCCAATGGAGAAGGAGACTCATGAACACATCAAAAGTGTAATATGGCAAACTGAACTATAGGACCAAAAGGTAGCTCTCTCAGCCAATCACAACCAAGAAATGACAAGGGAGGGAGATCTCATCTTCTATGATGGACAAATCTATGTGCTGATGTTACAATTTTCTCCACTTCTTTCATGACCATACCCTTATTTATGCTTAGTCAGGATGCACAAGGCTGTGGGGAAGCTTGGTCATCACAACAAGCTGTCCATCAAACCAGCCCAGACAACAGTGCTCGATGATGCACAAGCACCCTTTTATGTATGGTAATGATGCTCAAGGATAATGGGCACCATGGACACAGACGATCACAATTAGTAGGAGTATTATTAGGACAGCCTATACAGTATTTAAGACCACAAGCTCTCACTGGTTTACCTCAGCTTCGAGCTAAAGTTTATAACTATACCATTCTACTCTCAAGCCATACTGTGGCCTTGTGACACATCGACCAAAGACACAAACTAGTGGACTCAGGTGATCCCTTGAAGTGCGAAGGGATATCTGTTTATCACATGTTTAGGTTCACATGACACTTGGGTCTAACAGCTGAGGGATTATGCCCTTCAGGGAGAAATTATAGCCTGATCACATGACCACATCACTGTAGGGCACCCTGAGATTGCAAAAACAGTAGAACTGATACTGTGGAAATACTGGTGGCCAAATTTGAGAGTAGACATAGAGAAGTATGTAAAGGCCTGTGAAACTTATCCATGCATCAAGTTGAGCACTCAAGTGAGAGCAGCCTCATTATATCCAAATGAGATACCAAGCACAGTATGGACACATATCTTCATAGACATAGTCACTGGATTGCTGGAGTGCTAAGGCTATGATGCAATTATTATTATAGTTGACTACTTCTTGAAGGCTATCATTCCTGTCATATGCTCAATGGAACTATCATTGTAAGGCTGGGCAAAGATTCTATGAGATGAGGTATATACTAAATATAGCATACCACAAGTGATAATTTCAGATTGAGGCCCACAGTTTGTTTCCAAGTTCATGACAGACTTGTATCACCTTCTTTAGATTCAAAGCAATATCTCAACTATGTATCATCTGCAAATACATGGACAGATAGAGTGAGTAAATCAGGAGGTTGAGAAGTACCTCCAGATGTTCATTAATTATTGGCAGGACAACTGGGCCAACTGGCTTCCACTCATGGCCTTTCAACATAACAACCATGTACACTCCACTACAGGCAAGACTCTATTCTTCATCAATCATAGATGACACCCCCATATTGCCAATACCTCCCACAGATCAACCACAATCCCTGCCTCAATGATATTCATAGACCATATGACCAAGGTCTATGAGGAAACTGAGTCCACTCTTGAGAAGGCTACCACTGCTATGAAACACCAGTATTACAAGTCTCACCACTCTGCCATTGAATATAATATTAGTGATTGTGTTTGGTTGGACACTACCAATCTCCATCTCTCTCATCCAAAGAAAAAGTTGGCTAACAAATGCATCAGACCTTTTCCCATCACAAAGAAGATTAGTATGTCCACCTACTGACTGATGCTACCAACAACATAGAGGATTTATCTGATATTCAATAAATCCCTTCTCTCTCTGTACACACTGCCTGCCTTCTCCAATCAGGAAGTCTCATCTCCTCCTGTGCCCAACCTCATCAAAGAAGAACATTATGAGATCAAGCAAATTCTCAATTATTGTATCTGAAAAACATGAGGTCATTGCAGTGTCAGCCCCAGCTCAAGAGTCAAGTACCTTGTCAAATGGAAGGAGTATGGCCTGAAATTGAATTAGTGGATTAGCAAGCATAATATAAATACCAATGTGGCTATTTATGATTATAAACTTTCTGCACTGCAGAATGCCATCAAGAAGGATAATGCTTAACCCACTCAAAGTGAATCTCAGTGCTCCACCCTCTCTGCCCCATCATCCTCTCCTCCAAATCCCTGTACTGTTATCTCTCCCTCTGCCTCTATAGTTATACCATCATCAGGACTTGGAATTACTGCTATCACTGCACCCTCCAGTGATATTATCTCAACATCAGATGCTAATGAACCAATTAGCAATGATGATATAAAAAGCTATGGGGGGACTGCAAGTGGCAGTGCTTCACAATCTCTCAATGATCTCCTTGACTTTGATCACCTAACTCCTCTGTCTTCCAATGCCCCCTTCCTTAATTGAGCCATCAAGATGATAGTCTTAATGAGAGAGTAATGTTATAATTTTTCTGTTTATCTTATCTTTTATCTCATTTTATCAGGGTGCCTATCTTATCATAGGCACTTATTGATGAGCATGGGATGATTACTTCACCACAATAGGCAGCCTGTGCCATTGTCCTCCAACATGTAGTGAACACCTTATCTGCAGACAATACTCTATTGTTTTACTCTTGATGACCAGACATCATGGTATCACAACACAAGGATATATAACTAGTAGAAACTATATTTATCTTTCAGAAAAGTGTATATAAATAGGATATCTCTTACTGTAGGACTCTAGCTTCAAGCTAAAGTTTATTCTATGCCACTTTTCTTTCTTGAGTCTAACTTGTCAATGGCCTTAATGCATACAATCAGGATTGCACATTAGTGGACTCTAGCATGACTGTACAAACTCAATACAGCACTAGTTTATCATATGTATTGATCATATGCTGAGCAGATCTAACAGCTCTTCAGACACTGCTCTCTTATTCTCAGGCCAGAGTGCAACTCAAAACTTTCTATCAAGTTGGATTGGAGTCCCTCACAAACTTTCATGCCTCACACAATACTCAAATCACTCATAATAATCTCAATATCAGGTTTATTCTCTTTTCTAAAGTTACAAACTCAAACCTAGAGCTGGAGTGCAAGACCTTCATGCCCAATACACTGCAACTGTGGAGGGTTGGAAACTTGTCTACTACTTTTACAATGTGGTATTTAAATAAGCTACTACTGTACTTACTAATAAAAACCTAATATAGTAGTTTCAACATGCAGGACTCTATTTCAGAGTCTCTTATGAGTTATTCCTGTGATGTCACTGTCTGATACCCATATTCTGTTCTGGGTCAGGCCTGCACCCTCTGTTTCTATGCAACCTGACATTGGTTAGCTCTGTTAGTGAGCCTAGCCACAGGTCTCTTTGCTTTCTTATCTTCTCAGGATCATTCTGCCACCCCCAGGTCCTGTTCCAGGCCTCCAGTGTTATCTCTCATGTCTGGAGTCAGCCACAATTATTATGTTCTCTAGCCAAGTGCCTGGATATTCTGTCTTACTCACAATATGTGTCACTTCTGGCCTAGAGCACATCAATTAATCCACCTTATGGTTATGCATCATACATCAGTACTGTGCAGTCCCTCACAAAATGACATGCAAAATCTCTTGCAAAGGTCACATGTGAAGTCCCTCCTGCACAAGGTCATATTCAAAGTCCTGTGTGAGATCATATCTGTAGTTCCACATAATTTCTATTCTTAGTGTGTAAGCTCTGCACTATCATCAGTGCATTCAGTGTCAAGTACTGAGACTTCCTGTCCAGTGTGACCCTTCAGTATCATCCCAAAGCTAAGTCATGTACTCCACCAATCATCACCCAAGCCTATCACAGCCAGCCTTTCTTTTATTGCACTCTAGCTCTATTTTGCTTCACATGCTTAATAGTACTTTTGTATTTAGCATGTAGCACTGTATTTCACAAAATTACATGCATGGACATGTTCAGGGCATGTTAACAGACTCATGAGTTGTGAGTTGAGATGGAGACAGCAGAAGAAGTGGCACATTGCTCACAACTAAAATAGAATAACATACCATTTTTACAGAGAAGTCTGACCTAACCTTACTGACACCACATCAAATTTCCTTGGTACTGCCATATACATGCCAATCTCATTGAGAATCTGGGAATCTCCATCAAGATATTTGCTGGCATGAAACTCTTCACACCACTTACAATTCTGCATCTCCCACTGGATATCAAATGGCCATCACTGTGCCACGCATCAAAGCTGTTGCTACCATACTTACACTGCGGATGTCCAGAGTGTCTAGAAAGACGGGGTGAATGCGCCGTAGCCATAGGAACCTCGGCTCATTTGATAAACCGTGTGCAGATGAAGCGGCATCAAAGCAGAGAATGATGGGCTCACGGTGGGCACGTCAACGTAGATTTCTATGCAGAAGAAACACTCCAGTCTGGAATCTCTACCATCCATGCGACGAGAGATGCCGCAGGAGACCATCTAAATGAAGTTTGAAGGTAGCGGAAATAAGGACTGAGATCATCACGGATAATGGAGATATTTACCGGGAACACTCGTGAGTGCAATTTCCCGAGATAGAGGCTCGCACTACATGGTATAGCTATTGAGGTTTGGCCCTTAAGATCATTCGGGTCGATGACACGTAAAGCAAGGGTAAAGATCAAGTTTGTTTACTATGTATGGAAGTGACTATGAGAATATTCTAGCGTGTTGAAGCCAGAATCATCCTAGCCGGCTGCCAGTTGAATGACTGCAGTGAATGTTAGTTACTTTAGAAGAAAAGGAAGGGTGGGTAGGGACGTATGAAGGTCTAATGGGAATGGAGAGGCTGTACCAATCCTCCCTTAGGACCGCAGTACGTTGAATCCTCAAAGCCCTGCTGCGAAGAGTGCAGTCTCAAATTGACAAGCTTCATGAAATGCAACACTCCATTTGTCCTTATTGCCAGGTGAATCATAGGTTGAATGATTGGCCTCCAGATATTCTAAGGGTTTGATTTTCAGAAATGTCCTAAAGATCAGTGGAAGATAAAGCTGATTCTCACCGGAAAGCGTGCTCGCATAACTGTCGTCTAGGTTCGCCTGGAACCAGGATTTGTAAAACAATGTACCTTGTTCTCCTGAAGAGACTGGTTCAGCCAACAAACTTCCGATTCGAATTTTGAAAGTACAAACCATCTCCCTCGCTCTGCAACTTTTCCGCAATCTTGTTCCATCCCTCCTCATTTTGTTAGCTCAAAGTTCTTGTCGTACAGAAAGCCACTCACATAGACGCACGGAATCGCCCTAACAAAATTCGAGAAAGAATCGTCCGTGATACCAGACAGTTGCTCCCAACTTGTATAGCCCAACAACGCCGGTGAAGGCTTTTCGTTCAGTAACTCCTCTTCAGGAATACCAATACCATTGGGAGTGGGAGTGATGCAAGTTTCGTAGTTCCCTTCCACGTAGTCCACATTATCAGACACACTGCCAAGCAAATTGACCAGACCCTCCTTAGTGTGAGCTGATGGCTCCTGCAGGTCTCGATAATGGACGAAGCGGACATATTCAATCAAATAAAGGTAGTCTTACTGCATTTGGTGTCGACAGTCAGTAAGATGTCAAGCCAGCCAGTAAGAGTTATCCTACCTTTGCCAGACCTCGGTATGTGTCATCGAAGTCGGATGCAGGGGTTTTATAACCGAGCGTACAGAATTCATTGGTCAGAAAATTGTTCCACACTTCCTCGTTCTCCGCAATCAGTTCTTCGATCAAAGTGGGTGCATCCCGCTTCTTAATGAGCGTGCCATCTGCTATGATGTCTGGATTAGATTAAATTTGTGCTGAGAATGAGTCGACGACTAACCGTCAAGCATCGGGGCTTTGAGTTTGAATGGGCCTTTCTGGGATTCTAAGGCATGTATGATGATAGCGGCGCGGCGGGACATTTCAATAGAGGAATCTGGCAGACACAGACGGATAGGGCACGATACAATGTGTGCGATCTTTGGGATGTTTTTTCTAAGTGAAGGACGGCTTGGTTTAAAGGCATCTTCACGATACTTGAAACTCCACAGCCTCAAAGAAACGGGGAAATATCAATGAATCTGAGCGATTTCACTCTCATCCATGAGCCGAAATCGCCAGTGCAACAATACAGTATATCGCCCCTCCCAATGTCCCGGTCTTCCTCGGAGTCGAATCTCTCGTAGCAAAACGTAAGTCGTCTGCCATCGTCCCGGGGAAATCAATGTCCTGAACCTTCCTCAGAGTCGAATCTCTTTTCACAAGTATCCTCAAGGTGTCGTACCAACCGAGACAATTAGGAAGTCATTCGGCAGCATACATTTCCATGATAACTCTTATAATCCCCGGTACCAAACATACCAAACATACTTCGAGTGTTCTAGTTCCGGCTGAGAGGCGATTCAACGAAGTCGATTCAGGAATAGGATATCATCTATGTTGAAACGAACCCTTCTGGATCACCAGTGTCACCATAAAACGTAGTGCCAAAAGGCCATTGAGGCTCCACCAATGACTTTTCAAAGAATGAAGACTTATCGTTACTCCATTTTCCGATAGCAATAAGATCCCTCCACAAAATCAGACACTGAAGTCTACATCGAGAGGGTTGGATTGGAGCTGTCGATGAATGCAGAACTCGTCATCAGCATGTGCCAGAACTTGTGACAACGGAATACATGAGTTGTACCTGAATGGGGAGAGGAAAGGCAGCCCATTAGACTATGACCGATTCGTCGGGTGAAGACAAGACGACAACTATAGAACCATCATACGAGAATAGGATCCGCTCGAGCCGCTTGTTATCTTGTTCTTACTGCTGCTTCTCTTCTCCACCCTGTATACCCTGCCTTGGCACGAGGCCAGAGATATATCAATGACGTGAGATTCAATTCTATAGATAATAGGGCTGGACCACATGAAGACAGTGGTCTATCATGTGAGATACTGTCGTGGAGCTGGTGGTACGCTCTAGAGAAAGCGGTGCATAATGTCGAGGGAGTGCAGGAGATCATTTGACACCGAGCATGGGAGTTCCACGGGTAAAATCAAGGCTGGAAGTCCCCACAGAGAGATCCGAACTGAGTAGGTCACGCAGAGCTAGTATTGGGAGATGAACTAACGGCTTCCAACTCATAGAATATAAGCTGACCTACCGGAGTAATATCTTTCCGTGTACTTCGCCAAGGTCCACATTCCGTCTGCTATCAACTGACAATAAAGAATAGAAGCCATCGCCGAAGTGACGTTGAGGGAATTACGACCGGTAACAGAATTTCAAGACAGGCATTCAAACTCGGCCTGGGCAAGAGCAAAAAGACGGGGACCTGAGGGATTTAGCCAGGCATGATTGATACACATAGCCATGCACATATGAAGGTTTGAAACACGGAAGAACTGAGAGGGCGCAGTAGTCAGACGAGAATAGAACACGAGGTAAAGTCGCATCCGCCAAGTCAGACCGGGCCGGATACGTGCCTAATGGACTTCTGCGCTTGGTTTCTACCCTCATCTCCACTCGTTCGCTCCTCGCCTTCCAGCTAGGCGAGGATTTGTCTTTTGCGCAGAGGACGTCAAGAACGGATCCCATAGTTCTAAAATTCAGAACGATAGCCTTTGAGGGCGATACCTGTCAGTGATTCACCGACGTCGCGCCCATTCGTGTGAGTAAAGCCCGCCAAGTCATACTTCAGTTTGCCCTTCTAATAATGCACTGCTGCTACTTGATAATCCGGTGTCCCCAACGAAATCCCCAAGTTAAATTCTTTCTACTACAACGGACGCCGTTAATTCAAACCCGAAATAGCCCTTCTTTTGCGAGCTGGTTGTGATGGCGGAGGGGTCGTGGATTTATCTTGCAACACAACGTCGAGTGGCAAAAAATGTCACCATGGAAGAAAGGTACGTCCTTTCTTCTTCCATTCATTTCCTTACCTAACGTTACTTGAGAACACGCACAAAACTCGGACTCGTCCCTCCTTGGTTTGTTTCCCTTTTTTCTGTCAGCATGTAAGTTCATTCCGATTCCATGCTCGATAGTCAATCGATTCTATCTTATAGTGTGATTGTAATATGGACTGTCAATAGAGAGAGTACATACGTGTTTTTCACCACGCTGGCTGGGATTAGTCTAGCCATAACTCTGCAACACGTATCTTACGAGTACGGAGAATATGCCTGTGCCAGCACACTAGACTGAATACGCACAGAGGAGGACACTACTGTCGTCTACTCAGGAAGGTAGATGTAAGTCGTTGTCCCACTTAATGAAGAATGGCCCACCATTCATTTAGAGTGGACTTATGGGTACCCGGCAAAACGTATCAACGGATACGAGTAGACTGGCTAAAGAGGAAAGAGATATATTCAGTTAACACTGTACAGAGGTGGCCTGTCCACTCTTATCCCAAAACAATTTTCAGTAACGTATCGCCTGCAATCAAAATAGAAATAACATACAGTTCCTTTTCATTAAGGATGGATCTGAGTTTACGAAGACATCCTCACTGACACTTCATGTCAAATGAGAATGACGATGAACTATCCCTCTCAGGACCAATGCCGCGTCGAAAACTTTCCTAGTGCCGCCGTATACCTCCATATACGTGCCAATTTCATTGCTGATCTGGCAATCTCTGTCGGGATATTTGCCGGAATGAAATCGACGTACAACCTGTGAATTCTTTCCCGCTGAATATGAATCATCACCACGCCACTCATCAAAGCTGTCGTAACACGCTTAGGCGATCAATCGCTGCAAACATCCCGACGTCGTTCAGGCCCTGGAAGGGCGGAAGTTAATGCGCCGTAGCCATGGTATCCTCGACTTTCTGAATGAACTATGTGTGCACAACACAACACAGAAAATGATGGTCCCACGATGAATGCATCAATTGAGATCGACAGGAAGAGGAAACTCCCAAGTCATGAGGAAATTCTGTTCGTGCGACCTGGGAGGCGGAGGGAGATTATGTAGGGATTAGAAACATCATTCTTCATGTCGCACTCGAAGTAAAGAAAAACATGCTCGCCCACTCACCTTTCCATCCCGAACTCTTGCTGGACGGCCTATGTCACGTTCTACAGAGAAGAAGAGTTATCACAGCCCCGAATTCAAAAAGGAGAGTACAAATCGATAGATAACGTCCTAGAATTGCGAGCACTTGGAGATCAGAGAGGATGGTGGTCGAGGGGAGGAAATCACAGATTTCGTTAACATGTTTGGAATCGAGAGACACCTTGTTTGTCTTGAAAACAGTGCCTCGAATTGTTTGATATCTCATCAAGGACTTGACCTCACTGGTGACAGAAATCCTACGGCTGTGTGGTTTCGAATTGCAATCGTCTGGCATATTCAAAATAATTCATGACATGACTGTGGATCCCAAGCCTTCCGAATGGCTTGAGGGCGCCTGGAAATCGAGAAAACGGTACACTCATGTCGATGACACGCAAAGAAGAAGCCAAGATCAAAGTTGTTTACTACATATGAAACTTGTTATACACTGACTACGAGAATACTCTGTTGATTTCTAGCGTGTTGAAGCTAGAGTCACCTTGATTGACCGCGAGACGAATGACGGTGGTGCGTATGTAGGTGGAAGGGAAGGGAAAATATAGTCTCAAGGGGATGGCGAAGCTATACCCTCCTCAAGACTGGTACCACTCCTCTCTCAGCCCTGCTTGGAAAAATGCGGACTCGAACGCCAACGCTTGATGAAATGAAGCGTTCCATTTCTCCCAGTTCGCAGGACTTTCATAGCGTGAACGTAAGGTTTCCAGATATTCTAAAAAACTTGATTCTCAGAAATATGAATACCAGGGGGAAGATAAAGCTGACACTCACCGGAGATCTTGACCGCCGAACTGTTGCCGATGTTCTGTTGGAACCAGTAATTGTAGAAAAATGTATTATTTACACCTAAAGATCTTAGTTCAGCCAACAATCTTTCCCGTTCGAATTTTGACGATGCAAACCAGGTCCTGAGTTCTGCAACTTTTCCGCAATCTTGTACCATCCCTGCTCACTTTGTCAGCTCAAGGGTGTTTATTGTACAGAAATACACTCACATAAATGCACGGAATCGCCCTGACATAATTAGAGAAAGAATCATCCGTGATGGCAGACAATTCCTCCCAACTTGTATACCCCCACATTGACGGTGCAGGCCTCAAGCTCGCTACATCGTCTGCAGTAACATTCATGCCAGTGGTGAGGTCGTCGTAGCTATCGTTCACGTAGCCCACATTCCTAGTCACGTTGACGACCAATTCTTGCAAACCTTCCTTGGTGTGAGTTATCGGCTCCTGCAGGCCACGATAGTTGATGAACCGGACATATTCAATCAAATAGAGATAGTCTTGCTGCATGTCACGTCGACAGTCAATTGGATGTCAAGAGAGCTGGTAAGAGTTATCGTACCTCAGCATAACCTCGGTATTTGTCATTAAAGTCAGATGCAGAGGAGTTATAGCCGAGCGCGCAGAATTCATTGTTCAGGAAATTATCCCATGCTTGCTGGTTCCAAGTAATGAGTTGGTCGATAATTGTAGGTGCTTCCTGCATCAAAACAGGAGTGCGGTCGACTATGGTGTATGGATTAAATTAAATTTGCGCTGAGAGTAAGTCAAAGACAAACTGTCAAGGGTCACGGGTTCGACGTTGAACAGGACTACTTGCGATGCCAAGGCACCTAAGATGGCAGCAGCACGGCGGGTCATACCGATAGAGGAACCTGGAAGAGGCAGACGGATAGGGCGCGATACAACGTATGTCTTTGGGAGGCCCTTTCTGAGTGAAGAATGATTTGGTTTTAAGCCAAATCTGCAGCCTCGAAGTGGTGGAGCAATATCAATGAATCTCCTGCAAGCTAACGTTCATCGGTGAGACGAAATCACCAGTGCGACAATACAGTATATCACCTTGCCATTTCCCTGGTCTTCCTCGGAGTCAAATCTCTCCTAACAAAACGTAAGTCATCTGTCGTTTTCTCGGGGAAATCAATGGCCTTCCCTTCCCTTCCTCAGAATCGAGTCACTCCTAATAATTTTTGCGCTCCAAATGAGATGGTAAGGAATCCGTCTGGTAGCTCTGAATCTCCATGCCAACTCTCGTCATTAAGCACATTCACCGGTGAGAAAAACACTTCAAGTGACTGCTAGTTCTGGATGAGAGGCAATTCAACGAAGTCGACGGAGGAATAGCAGAATACCATCTACGGTAAAATGAAGCCTCCGGTAATACCATTTCATGCTAAGGCGTAGCGTAGCGCTAAACCACAGGTGAAGTTCCACTGATGGCTACTTGAAGAATGAAGACTTCCCGCCACTCGGTCTTTTGATATAAATAAATTCCCTCTATAAAATTAGATCTTGAAGTCCATATAGAGACATTGAATCGAAGGTGTCGATGGGTGAAAAACTAATTATCAGCATGGGCTGGAACCTGTGACAACAGAATCCATGAGTTGTACCTGAATGGGCAGAGAAAAGACCACAAGACCACGTACGAGACCCATTCATTATACTATGACCAATTCACCGCGCTAGGACAAGGTCGCAACTATAACGACATCGTGCGGGAGCATTGACATCCCAGGATCCACTCGCGACGTCTACCATTCTGCTCCCACTTCTGCCTCTTTTCTCCACCTTGTATACGCTGCCCTGGCGTGAGGCCCAAGATACTTCAGTGTCAAGAAATCCATTTCTATAGGACTGGACCATATGAAGATGATGGCCATACCATATGAGACTAGAAGCAGTGGCAATACGCTGTGGATGGATCCGAGTATAATGTCGAAGAAACGAAATAGATCATTTGACACCGGGCATGAGTGTTCCACAGGGGAAATCAAGGCTCGAAGTCCCCACAGAGAGATCCGAACTGAGTAGGTCACGCAGAGCTAGCAATAGGAGATGAACTAACAGCTTCCAAATCAAAGAATTTAAGGTTTCATACCGGAGTAATATCTTTCCGTGTACTATACAACGGTCCACATCTTCTATCAATTGACAGTAAAGAATGGAAGCTGTCGCCGGTGACTTAGATTCACAGTTGAATTGAAAACACGCTTGCACTAATGCCGAAGTGACCAAAAAGCGGTTTTCCGATCTCCAGAAGGTCCAGAGTAAAGGATGGATTGGTACAGGTGACCTTCAGGGGTATTGGAAAATCGAAGGTGGGGTTACCCACGCATGCAGTCGCTTCTGTACTCTCGAATACCGGACACCGCTTGCCACACTAAAGGAAGGAAATACCGAACGAGGCTCGGTCAGCAAAGGATATTACATAGAGCGCCCTGTAAGACACCTGAACTCAGAGGGTGAGTGACATCGCTGAAGGGGAGAAAGGCACATCATAAAGAAGCAACGAGAACCAGAGATACAGTTGGAGATACACATGTCAAAAAGCGAAGAATACCCTGATACCCTCAGTGTACACTTCGTCAAAGATAATAGTCTCGTCGACGAGTAGCAGCAAATAGTTCTCCAGATTCCGATCAGTGGTTTGTCCCATCTAAGAAAATCAGGAGGAACAGCCAAGCCTGGAAGAAAACGTGAAGATTGAAGCTGAGAAGATATTACACAGTGTGATGATCAGATTTATCGTTATTTGCTCAGCAGGAGACGGATTTGGACAACTGGACAAAGCAACGCGTGACGCCACAGACGTGACGCGTCTGTTTGCGTTTGTTGTCATTACAAGTTTTCTTACAATGATGACCCCAGTGGCGCCCAGCCTTATATTTGTTTCAATAGTGAATATATACAATAAAATTGAATCTATGTAGCCCTTACCTTCGGGGACTGGTAAGGCGATGGAATAGGCTTCATGCGCAAACGGAAGGATGTGGGGATTACGGTGTTGTGCTGCATCCTCAGACTGTTCGTATTCGTATCCTTTGCTTTCCCATATGCTATTACTCCTGATCACTCTTTTTCGACTAGCCTCGGAGTCGCCGTCGCAAGACCGAACGACGAGCATGCTTAATACCGATACGTTATACTCACAGTATTAGTGGAATCATGGGATGTTTGTTGGCGATGACGATCCAACGGCACGCTACAGACGTGCTCTTATGTGTAGTGATTGAAGCGGAGATTGACTTCGTACATGTGTTTGAGCCCAGAGTCAGTAGCAACCCGACGTGACGCGTCTGCTTGCATATGTTGTTTTGCAACGTCGTCGCCCTTGCCCTCTTTCTTTCCCGCCACCATGACCGCAACTAGCCTATTCTGAACGATCCTCCGTCCCCTTTGACTGCTTAATTCATAGAATAATTTTCAGCGACCAAAGCATGGAATGGAAGGTTCGAAAATATGTCGCCCATACCAGTATGCTGTGAAGAAGAGTACGTGTCTGTCATGGTTTGCATGCGCTCGATACTGACTTCGTTTTCATCTTAGCGCCACCCAAGCAACCTCACTATGCGGAACGAAACCAAATCTTCTTGCGACCAATATAGAATTGAGCAAAATGACATGCAGTATCCAAGAGGCGTCTGGAAATTTTTTTTAAGGGTACGCCATAGAATGAATATTATTTTGACCTTGACTAATCTTCCTACAGCTATTTCCTTGTTCGCCTGCCAAAAATCCAATACCAAGGTGTTCGGTGCGGCGAGATGCAGTTACGGAGATTGTGAAATATGTAAGGTATTGTTGCCGCATAATTTATCTCCAAAGTTAAATGTTAATCTTTTTACATTCTACCCATTTCTTAGATATAACAGCTGCACGAAACCGGGCTTTGAGGAAAAATCTCATCTACACAAAGAGCATAAAACAAACGACTAGGCAACAATCTTCCGAGAGCTTGTTATGACTTGAGCCAGAATAGCGTCCGATGGAGGTCCATGTCAGTGTTTCGTATGTTGATTCTTTCAGTGCACGTTGACTTTTTACCTTGTAGCACGGCATGTTTTTAGTACAATTAGGCCCCAGGAAAGGTCGCACTGTAGGGAGTTTCCCCCACACTTTACGATTCCGATTCACAAGTGAAGATCCGACGTTCCGAAACCGCAGCAGGAGCGTACAGACATCCAAAGGAGAAGCGAGGCAGGCATGGAGGTATGCGTATGTAATATTTGTGTCACTCATGTCGCGTTGATATCCTTGCAACTCCGGAACTTAGCTGAGAACTGATGTGACGCAGCGCAAGGGTGCAGTAATTTGTGCGTACCCTAGGTAGGTCTATGGTCCGTCTTCCTTTGCTTGCTTCGCAACACCTTTGCTCATTCAGGCTATTCTCCGTAACCACCAGTCCGTCATGTGTTGCATCCCTATTGGTCATGAAGGCGTACCATGTTGCTGAGCACTGGACCTAGGTATGGAGCCTCGAGAGAAATGTTGCCGAAATTATGCTAATAGTTCTGCAGCGCTGCCTTCTCGCTTCCTCATATACGCGATCCAGAGCCGAATCTTTGTTTCAACCATCAGATATTCAGGAAGAGTGTTTGGTAATCGTCTTTAAAGATTGGTATGAGCTTATCTTGGTCCTCTTTTTTTGCGTCCCAGCCCTCAACTCCGTTTAGGCATAACTGTGGAATTAGCATACGCATGAGTACACGAAGTGAAGTGATGGTTTCTTCTTGTGAAAACGCACGTCGGAAGAGGGGATATGCGGCTTTCCTCTGTCTGTGGTGTCTTCCGAGCGAGCACCTAGCAATTCTTTATAATCAAAGTGTTAATTGATGGCAGGTTCGTAGACCTCGGCATATTGGCTGCTTTCCTCTTTTAATGTTGTCTTGCTTTTTCAGGTTACCCAGGCTGCTACTCATCTAGAGCATCGCCGTTGATGGATCACACTTGAGAAGCTCTTTTACGCTGTGAAATCCTGGGCGCACCTCTTAGCGGCAGCGATCATATCGGACCAAACCACTAGGTCGTCAAGGGGGGAACGAGGTCAGTGCAAGATCGCTTCATCATCGACCCCTTCGAAATTTCAATCTGGGTAATGGAGGTCCCCTTGAAACTGTGCCACCGACATTGACGCCGCTCTTGATCAAGCAGCCCTCCTCGCGATGAATGTGAGTGTCTGGCATGTTTCGCCTTTATTAAATACCGATGCGCAACTAGTCACGCTTTTGGGGGGGGGGGGGGGGGGGCTCGTATATCATCCCTGTCTATATATCTCTTAGTGGTGTGTTGGTTGGCCAACAACCGAGGACGGGGATCCCTGTTTCCTACCATAAACACGCTCATCTTCCCCGAAAACTGCCTTGGCATCTACAGAGATCTTTTCTTGTCATGTATCATGTCCGTGGAGACCGTAATCCATCAGATCCGGTGCCTAAAAGCACGACTCCGAGAATTCACCGAGACGTTGGTCCGGTCATTAAGCCCTATACGCGTCCCACCGACATCGTTCTTGAGGAAGTTGTGCGGAGATCAGAGCGCAGGAGGATTCAGGAGGCAGAATGAGGAAAGTGGACGGTCGTCAAAGTTTCGACCGCCACTGCATCAATACCACAACTCGTTCTTGTCTTCGTCGCCACACTCATCTCCGTGACCCCAAGACATCCTATAAGCTTTTCTTAGTATCATCCGTATTTGGCACTTCGGGCATTGCGAACGATATTTGGTGATTGCATATTGCGACAATTGAAATAGTGAACTTATGAAACTGCCGTAGACGGTCCCGAGAAAGAGACCATGACCTCGCAGGTCATCGTAGATGTAATCCACCTTCATCGAGCTCAGTGTTGATGGATGTGTGTCCTTCAGTACTAGGAACAATGCTGAGGAGACCTTTCCAGTCTGGTTGTGTCATCGGAGGGTCGTAACGATGGACGATATGGACTGCGGGAACACGTTTCTTTCTGTCGACGTTATTACGCAGAGTTCTGGTCGGCCAATTTTACCATGAACTATGACGCGGACGGTGCATCCGTAAAATTGAGAAGAAAGAATCTGTGCAAGTGTTGACGCGCCACGCAAACTGAAATTCGACGTGACACGTCTGCTTGCATGTATTGTTTCGCAATGCCATCACCAATTGGCTTGCCTTCTTTCCTACGACTATGATCGCAACAAGGCCTGGTACAACTTGATCTCATCACGCTTATATCCCAGATAATTTTGCCTCTATTTCAACTGCTCGATTCTCTTGCAACGGTTTTCAACGATCAGCGGAAGGTCGCAGTAGTGGTGGGTCCACAGCCCCGACATGGCAAGGGATGGAACAGAAGTTCGATAACGGGCTCGAGGACAGCTGTGAAGAGGAAGGAGTACGTGTCTGTGATGGTTTGCACGCGGTCGATACTGACCGAATTTTCGTCCTGGTCAAAGCAGCGTCAGTGTGCAAAACGAAAGTGAATCTTCTCGTCCACAATCTCGAATCTAGCACCCAGAGGCAATTCCAAGAGTCACGATAAATACGAAGATCTAAATCCGGGCATCGCAAAAATGCTTCAGCGGGACATAATCTGAGAGGTATGCCGCGAAGGAATATCATTTGGACACTGGTTAATCTTCATACAGCTGTTTCCTTCTTCCCTTTCGAAATGTCTAATGTCGACTGGATCTTAGTAGATGGATTTATCATTGTCCGCTAAATTGCAAGATATGGATACGGAATAAAGTATGGATGTCGTGTAATCTTCCATCGAAGCTTGGGCTGATGTTTTACCATTCTTGCCGCTGCTCAAATAAAGTATCATGGGATCAGTCACCCGGAATCGACCTTTTAAAGATGCTTCAAGCTTGCATTAGCGTTCTTGTACGACAGGCATAAGCAGACAAGCGAATTGTGGCTCCAAATTCGCGAGAATCTATCATCAATTAGTCATCTCCGCGACCATCGACGAGTTCGACGATGTAGGATGCTTCCGGTACGTGAATGGCTTTCATCTGCGGCTTCTTTTTCTCATTGTTTTAGTTTAGCCCTACGGAGATAGGTTTCCTAGGCTGGTGTCACGTCGGATAGACGTCCGGTCCTGTTGTGTATTTGTGCATCGATTCATCTTTCCCTTCGCTGCGTACATTGACTTCTTTACTTGTTCTTAGTTTAGTCACTGCCTAAGAAAGGCGGCACTGCAGAGCCCCGTTCCCACATCATACGCCGAAGATCCTGCGTTTAGAAACTGCGGAGGCTCCGCCGTAGCCGGAGCGTACAGATACCGAACGAAGGAAATCGACAACGGGGGGTATGCGTGAGTAATCTCTATGTCCATTATGTCATAGTAATATCCTTCCAGTCCGCGCCGAAGCCTTGAAAGGAGGGGACCTCGAGATTGGGCGCAAGAATTCTTTCCCTTGTAGAGAAGGACCGTATATGACTCAAGCAGGTCTATCTTTCGTCTTCCTTTCCTCGTTTAGGCCGTTCTTCGGAACCAGAAGTCCCTCGCACTGCATTCCTATTGGTCACAAAACTGTTCTGTTTTGTCAAGTTCTTAATTCTCGGCAGAGCAGGTACGGGAGCTTCACGAGCAGGTCCACTAAAATGTGTGCTAATACTCTGCAGGATCTAAGGAGAGGTCATCGCGTCGACCGTGGATGGGAGAACCTGCTACCGGGTAGTACGCTTATATTTCATCCGACTTTTCTTGCGTGCTAGTTCTCAAGTCCATTCAGATGATACTTCGGTAATGGCTTTCGTTCGCGGCGACTAGAACGATGTCTCTTTGCCAACGAGTATGTCGTCGGGGGTTTTTCTGACGTGCCGTTGTCTGAACGAGTGTCGAGCACGGCGTTCGTTCATTGCAGGTTCGTAGAACACGTTGTATTGATAACTGGTCTTGGTCTGATGTCGTCCCGTTCGTTCAAGACTTCCCATTGTCAACCCAGGCTACCACATCGCAGAGCTGCTTGGAGATGTGATGCCTGGGAGACTTTTCACGACTATTTCCGACGCTGAGGAGCATCTCATGGTGACAATGATCGTGTCAGACCACATAATCTCGGTCACCGGTCGACGATCCTTCTCAAACTCCAACAACCGAAGCCCCACTTGAAACTGAACTGTTGACATCGCTTGATGAAGCCGTTTGTCCTAGCAATGAATATGCCACCGCCTAATAGACATGGATTTCTCTTGGCCCGTCCATCATATGAACATAACCCCGCCTCCAATGGAGCATATATCCAACACACGGGCCTCCCGTTTCTCATCATGGACAAGAATATGTTCCAGTTCATATGCCACTATAGCGTCTACAGGGATATTTTCTTCGTCGTGCTTGAGACCCGCTACTACAAGTTTGATTCGAGAATTCACCGAGTGCCATCCCTCATAGGATGGAGGGAGAAGGTTGATGTCATCAATTCTTCAACTATCATTGCCTCGTCTCCACTCTTCTTCTTCGCTTCGTCTATGTCCCTTGTCCTCGCCCCGACCCTCATCTTCAGCGACGGAATTCTCTTTCGGCATCAGGTACCCGGCCGGCAACTTCTGATTGCCTGGGTGAAGCGACTTCTGCCGTGAAATCGTACTGTAAGCCGATGATGATAGTAGGCATGGGAACATCTCCAAGCAAATGAAACACCATGGTTTCTCGCACATGATGGCGACGATTCTCGGGTCGAGTTCTAACTAAGGGTATGCGCTCCTTTTAGACGAGCAACCGATGCGGGGATAAAAGATCCGGCGACCCAGGAATCTCTCCCAAGTCGCGGCAAGCAGCTTGCTCTTGTCGAGGAAGAAATATTTCGGGTCAAATAATTCAGGACTCTAGTAGAACGTTCGCGTTATACACGTTAGAATGTGATCAGACACTTGATGCACGATAGCTCAGGCTTTCAAATGATGAAGCCTGAGGCCCGAGCCTTCACCAAGTCAACCCTCAGAGCTCCGGCTCGGCTCGGGGCTTCAGGCCGTCCCTGTAAATCACCAATTCCAAAGTCCCTCGGTGCCTTTGATTTGATGCATATCAGGCGAGGAAGCATCTCCTTCAAGGGGGAACGTCCAACTTTGCGATTACTGTCACTGTGATAAATCCTCAGCATCTAATAACTTCAGGGAAAAGGCCCCTATATTGGGTGAAACCTCTTGGAACGTGGTGCATTGTTTTCCGCACTAAATCGGATGATATGGAAAAAATGAATCGGGAGGCGGGAGGCCGCGGGATCTTAGACGTCGGGGGGAACGGCATGCATCCGACCATGATCTGACGACGTCGATGATGAGTTCGAGGAGGGAATGAAGGGTTCATTTGTGAGATTAAAGGTGGTTAAGTAAGGAAACAACGGAATTTTGCTTGTTTGGAGGAGGGGTATGACGGAGGAAGGTAAGAGTTGAAGTTTCACGGTGGAATCCCTCTTTAATGTTATAGACCTTACGGATCTTTCCTCTGGCTCCCTCCAGACGGTTGATTAACGGGTATATACAAAGTAAAACTCTGAATGCAGAATAATGCCAAGCCAACAGTGTACACGCGGAGCCTTCATGTTCTTTGTGCAGCAAGATGAAATCCTTCCCTATGGTGCAGAAAATGAAAAGTGGTTTGTTCTTCGGCGTGTGTTTTGATAAGCCTATGAATCTGATTAATTTATCAGGACAACTTGAAGCGATGAGCATGGATCAAGAAGCCGACCCGTTTCACGCTGAGCGAAGAGACAGCCATTCGTTAGTAGATCTCCTTTCTTGGATATCGGACAGCTTCTTTTCAAGGCACATTAACATTAATAAGTACACGTCCAACCATGTAGGTCGGAAGGGGTGTGTTCCACGCTAAGAATAGTATGAACGCCATTCATCAACGGTCCCCACGGGGGAGATGCGGCGCTTCGCTTGCGGAATACTTCGCTGGAATCAACCAATTGTGCGGACTTCGCGCTTCATTCAGAGCTAGGAAAGACAATCGAGAACTGATATCACCGAGATATAATCCAGGTGTACCGGCGGGCAAGTTTCGATACTATTTTCCAAATATTTTCTAAGCTTTGCTTTCTCATCTACTCGGAAGACTCTTTGTGGGATATTTTTCAACAAAGCATGAGGCAGGAATAAGTTTTGCATATCAGAGGGTGGTTCGGATCCTGTGGTGATGTATCTCGGCACCGAGGCTCTGATGCCCCTGAAACTGCCTCACGTTAACGCCTTCGTCACAACACATCGAAATTTCAGGCGTGCTGCCCAGTTCCAATCTGCGCGGAACAACATTTCAACTCACAGTTAGTCACTATATACCCAATTTTCAACGACGACGATAATGCAGCATAAAGCGAATACCACTGCGCTTCTACTTTAAAACATTGCTTCTTATTCACAACCATTCACCAATGTTCAGGGAGTAGAAAAAGGCAAGTTTGATAATATTACTTTGCAACGCTTCCCTACCATTTACGGATGTTCTATCAATGATCATTCCTTGACTAGCGGCCACTTACTTCCATATACGCATGTCAGCGCTGTAACGTGGGGTAATACTGACACTTGATTCACTCCACGTATAGTTGTTGGAGATGGCCAGACATTACTAACCGCAGGTGGATAAATAGCAGTGTTCCGTGTGTCTCCCGCCTCAACTCAACACCCCCTTTTCACTGACAAGTATTCACCAGAGACGAGCAGTATGGTGGTAGAGTCGGTACCCCATCTTGCTGCCAAGGCCGACCAGAGACAACTAGAAACTATCACATTGGGAATTTGGAAGGTGTCTTCTCTCAAAAGCACCCCTTTCAACATTCGAAAACAGTTTTCGGACTTGGGATCTGCGTTTCCCTACTTCTTCCGTCTGGCCGTAGAAGTGTACACCCTCGAACCCGTGTTGGCGATCATGTTTGTGTTGAACAAACTGTGGAAGGGAGTCGAGGGCGCTTTACTTTTGTACTTTTCTAGTCGGATCCTACGGATCGTAGGGACTTTCTTATATCTTTGCATCTTTGTTACTTACAAGTTCTCCGGTATAGATCGAGATTGGCCTGGTGCAAGGGGCTCCAGACATGGTCGCAATCCTGAATGCGCTGACAGCACGTATTTCCTGCGTTGTGCTTGCAGCGATATTACAGTGGGCAAGGTTAGTCCCTATTTGTTTCTATGTCCCCCAAGCGCTTATGCGTCCCAGCGAGCAAGTGATCCCGACTCTTAAGACCCGGGTTACGACTCACTTTGAGCTGTATTTAATGCAAGGCAAGTGGACGCGTCACTGTCGTCCTGTAACTAACACGCGTATATCGTGCTTTTAGCCGAATTAAGGATAGACGTTCCCACTTCGCAAAGTGAGTTGTCTTCTCCCGCGTAGCACGCCAGCTTGTCATTAATTCCTTCTTAGAGCCACGCAGCAAATTTAAAGCGTCCTCTTACAACGCGTGGACTTCATTTGAGGGCATCGTCGAGTTTGTGACGCAAGTCATGAAAGCATTTAGCCAGTTCACCCTCATTCTACAAGCTTCCAATTCTACGGGTTCGTCTTTGTTCACTGCCCTGTGTGTCATGAAGCCGGTGTTCCTTGCACTGTCGCGTCGTTCACTGTGGGATATTCGTACGTCACTCCTGACTCCCTTCCTCATCTAGGTTGACATTTAATATCAGCGCATATTGTTTATACGGACAATGAGCATCGCAAACGTATGAAGGCATTGAATTTCATGACTTCCCCCGGTTATAGATCCGAGATTCTTGCAGGAGACTTGATCGGCTACATTATCAACGGTAATTACTTCCATCAAACTGTCTCTCCGATATTTCTGACGAATGACGTTTCGCAATAGAATATAGGAAAGCCGCTGCGCTGCTTGGCGGCCTCTCAGATGACTGGGCTCCCAATCAATATATGAACAGGAAGTCTCCAATGTGGCATGTCGTCACTGACTTGATGGGTGATCTACCGATGGTATGTCATTGCATGTTCTGATGCTCCAGTTTTGTTCATTAATTCCTAGGTATATTGCGCAATCGTGTCTATCCTTCACCCAGAAGAGCTATCTCTATCCTCGATCGCAATACTTCAACAATCCTCGCAGACCCTCGAATGGACCCTCCAAGTCCTTTCAATGAACGTAAACTCCTTCCGAAAACAGTACCAAGAGATCAAGAACGTCTACGATTCCGCCAAAACCTCGACCAAACTTCAAGATGGCAATGTATCTTATCCCAGGACCAGCAAAGACAAATACAAGGGAATGTCCTTTGAATTGCGAGACGTCTCTTTCACATATCCAGGTAGTCAAAACACCAAACCTACCCTATTCAACATCAACCTATCCATAGAATCCGGCCAGCTCGTCGTCATCGTCGGGGCGAACGGCAGCGGTAAATCCACCGTTCTTAAATTGCTTTCACGGTTCTACGATCCCTCTTCTGCACCCGATTCCATTCTCGTTGATGGCCTCCCGATCTCGCGGTACCGTATGCAGGATCTACGGCGGGCGACGGCGACGTTAACGCAGGACCACTCGCTCTTCCCTCTGTCACTGGGAGAGAATATCGGGTTGGGCTATGCAGAGAGGGCATGGGATGCGGGGATGGTCGACCGGGCTGCGGAGACGGGTGGGGCGACGCACTGTTTGCGAAAACTCCAGAAGGGGAAGAACACTAAGCTGGACATGGGCAACGAGGCGTATGGACACAACGTACCCGACGAACCGACCCATCCGTTGCAGGTTGAATTGGAGAAGCTTCAAAAGAACATCTCACTGTCGGGTGGAGAGACACAGAGGGTTGTAGCGTGGGTCTGTTTCTTTGGGGTATGACGGACCAATTAATCATTTTGATTGGATAGGGCAAGGACGTTCATGCGTCTCGAATCTGGGACTGTAAATTTCGTGGCGGTCGATGAACCGAGCTCGGCATTGGATCCTGAAGGGGAGGCTGCTTTGTTTCGCAATCTTATCAGAGTCCGCCAAGGGAAGACTATGATATTTGTCACGCACCGGTTTGGGCATTTGACGAAACATGCAGATCTCGTGGTGTAAGTCCCTTAGTGGGATGGATGTCAGACTGACTAACTTTCCCTCTGTAGGTGCATGAAAGACGGCACCATAGCTGAGGCTGGTACTCACGTAGAGCTAATTAGCAGGGACGGGGAGTACGCCAAACTGTACAACATACAAGCGAGTGCCTTTTTCAAGTCCGGGAGTACGTAACGTGCAAAGGCTCTGACGCTGTTTTGCACCCTTGCATTTGAACATGAGTACGTCAATGCCCAGGAAGTATATTTTAACGAGAATCATATTGGTAGACACACAAACATATAAGTATCTTCGTCGTATTTCCTTAATATATTATCGGCAAAATCTGTACTCACAATTAGCTCGTGCGTATTCTCCAAGTTTTTACACCTGTATCCCCCCACCACCTCTTGAATGCGCTCGCACGTGCGGTCGTAAAACTGCGCGGCCAGTGGTTGCGTGGCCTCTTCATCGCCTCGAGCAGACGAGAAGTGCAGGCATTCAAGATGGGGCCAAGCAGACAACAAATCAAGAGTTCGTGCCTGAGGAAAATGAATTTAGCGCTCCTGAGTGTCGTGTAAAATACGGTTCATCACATACAATAACATTATCGGAACCCTCAACGCTTGCATGAGGCAAATCGAGGGCCAGACGTAAAGCAGTCAATCCATTGCACTGCAGCAAAGCGGCCAGATGCTTCTCTTCGAAACACCAAGCGCCGGCGTAGGAGGGCCGGATGTACAGCTCTGTAAGCGTCTGCGCATGTGCAGGTAGGATGACATGGTAGAAGTCATCGGCGAAGCGTCGCTCCTCTTCATGTTCTACTTCCTCGACGTCAATGCTTACTGATAGCAAGTGTATTCCCGAATAAGACCTAAGATAGTCGAGAAGAGATCTGTTTACCCATGTAACAGATACCGATAGGAGTTCTAAGCCTTCGATGCAAGCGAGCTCCCAGAATTGGTTTGGGACTTCTATATCTAGAGTGAGAGTAGATAATGAGCGTAGATGGCGAAAGACACTAGGGAGCGAAGAGGCTGGCATGGTGAGCCCGCCGAGGGAAAGTTCTTTTAATGGGAGCTCGACTTCCGGAGGTACACGGGAAAGGAGCGTCTCGACGGAAGGATGTGAAGAGGATATATCATCGTAGTTTGTCACCGATAAATATGTAAGATTAGGACAGTTTCCCACTATATGGGGACAGAAATCCATTACGCGAAATCCGCCAAATGTGAATGTGATGAGATTTCGAAAGGCGGAAAAGGCAGTGGTGTGCGAGCAATCAGGATGCAGTTCGATGGTCACGTCTGTCAAATGACGACAGAGCAAGAATTTCTGCATGATTAAGTCGATAGCGCTTCTTCTGAGCGATCCTTGGGACCATCCTATCCAACTGCGACACATTGTCAAGTTTTTCAAATCACTGATAGTGCAACACATACCAGAGAGATCTCAATTGTATTAGTTTTGGAATAGCTCCGATGAGAAGCTTCTCGATAGCTTGAATTTTTCGTGCACGTTTTCGCGCCATGCGGTGCCAGACACGGCGGTATTTGTGATAGGGAAGGTCAAATGGTGATGCCAGCCGTAGAGTTTGGACGTATTTCCCCACATCAGTTTTCCCCAACGCGAGAGCTCTAAGCAGTGAAATAGAGGTGTAGTATTGATTGTCCATGTGGAGACATATCTCGATAGTTTCAAAGACGAACGGTGTAACGATATCTCGGAAGTATTTGCACGTGCCTCTGAGAGCTATCAGGTCGTCGTGATCCAGCTAATAGGTAAAACAGAGTCAGTTCCGGAGGTATTTCCTATGATTGCTACAAGCATTCGTACCTCGAGTGTAATGTCTTTCAGTATCTCAGGTGGAACCGCAGGGAGCATGGGAGTTTGAAGAGAAATGCCGACATGGTCAAAGTTCTAGTTCCGGATTATGCAATGTGTTCCGGTTACTGCCCCGGACGTACCGATCACAGGACTAGACTCTCGTTCCTGCTCGATTAAATGTGATGGAACGGGGGCCGCTTAGCATATTTGCCGCTAGGGCGGGCCCGGCAATTGACAGCTTGACATAATGATATGCAAACGGGGGCACAAGAGCGTCAATTATGACCTCTGAAAGATGCGTTAAAGGCAGAATTCAAAATCCATGGGACATTCTGCAAGTCAGAAAAGTCCAATATATATTGGTCGATTGGTGATTTGAAAGCAGCAAAAAATCATATATGTATCTTGTGAAAACGCGTACGGGTGTCCTTAATTATAACAGCAGAACCTTAACTTTAGCCGCTATATCATTCCAACACGTCAACATCACCCAAAGTTGTAACGGCAACTGTAATCTTCCGAGCGCTTGCCATAGCCGGCCACCTAGAATTGAAAACGTCGTCTAATTCTTCCAGCGTACGTCCACGCTACGAGGACATAATGAGGCCGAGCATAAAGCAATACTGATATCGTCACTCACGGTCTCCACACAGAACAGAAACCATAGGACGGACGCAATAAGATCCCATCCAACGAATACAAAATAATACTTCCATCCAAGACGCTCCAAGCCAACGCTATTTCCAAATGTGTTGATAAACCCGGCGACATTGGATATCAAGATATGGACTGCGCGAAATAGTGAGGTTGCGAATAGCAAGGAAGACGTCGCAGAAACTTACTTCCCATGCCTTTCGCTCGTATGTCCTGTCTCAAAACCCTATAGACCCTGCATAAGCAGCCACACATACTTCTAGAAGAGGGAACTCACTCAGCACAGTACAGCGCCTGCAGTGGGGTGTATGTAAAACTGTATATAACACCGAAGAGGAAAACCATGGCGATGGAAGCGTTGGCGCCAGCCGTGTTCACATTGTCTGATTTACCATCTGCAGAATTCCTTAAATATTGACCAGAAGACGGACAGGCTGGGGTTCGACGTACATGCAGATGATAAGGCGGCGACCATTGTTAACAACACCGCAAGGGTGAAAGCCCCAATATATAATCTCCTGCGACGCCCAAGACGGTCGGTCAATGCAGCACCCTTGAAAGGATGAGACTGAAGCTATGAGACGGGAGATGGAGATAGCATACGCCGAAAGCACCAAAAGCAGATAGAATTGAGTTTGCGAAATTACTGGAAAGGGAAGACCAGTCAGCCCAGGCGCAAACGGTCGAGGTTTGGTTAAACGTACTAGACAAGTTGCTGATGTTTTGATTTTACACCAGCGTTACTCATCAACGTAGGCAGGAAATATGTGATCAGCTGAAAGATCCATTATGGTCATTGAAAAGGCCGCGCAAGGATCAAGACCAACAACTTACCCCGTTCCCTGCAAGTTGTCCATTGACCTTTGCGTTGAATCCGGTTAAGATGATGGAAGAAACGATGGAAAGGATGACTTACACACTGAAAGACGTGTCAAATAAAGGTCATTATACAGGTCAACGGCGCACCATCAGAACAAGGCAAAGCATACGCCATCCTAAAGAAGAGTTCTATTAGAACCGACGTAGTGAAAAAGGTCCCAGATTGACGCACGACTATTCTTATCCCTAAATAGGCCGCTGTAATCCCAAAACGGTTCACGTTTCTTGACCGCTATCGCCTCCTGAAATTCCTTGAGTTGGAGCTGATTTTCTGCAGTCAAAGACGGCTACACGGATCACAGTAGGATATAAACCGACCTCAATCACCGGATTCGTCTTTCCATCATTGCTGTGGTAGCGAACAAGGACTTCCCTTGCTTTGTCCGGCTGACCCTTTTGGACGTACCACCGTGGACTTTCGGGGCAGAACCAGCAGCAGCACATAACTATAATCTGAATGTGCTATCAGAACAGCAAACAGACCCATGAGAACGATATCAGATTTACCGGGGGAAAAATCTGCAGCATCAGTGGAAGGCGCCAAGCCCATGTGCTGTTCATCTTCTGGGTGCCAACCATAGCTCCTGTGGCCGGAATACTTCCAATGAAGAAACATCTACGACGAACGTTGGTTTGATATAACAATATGGTCATCAAGGCATGGCATACGAGTTGTATAAGCCGCCGAGACGACCTCTCCATTGAGGAGGCGCCAATTCTGTAACCCAGGTTGGCGCGGCCGTTGTAGAAATGGAGATTCCGAACCCGAGAATGAACTGGAAAATGCATGAGTAATAACACGGAAACACAGATCCTTGCGCTCACCCGACCGCCCAAAAAAGCGCTCGTATTCTGTGCAGAGGCGATTATAGCAGCTCCGAGAAGGATGAAAAATCCGCCCTGATGATGGAGTAAGATGGGGGACGCTGGCATTAAATGGAAAGAGCTGACAGTGAACATTCCACCTCGTCGCCCCCACTAGAGTAAATAAATGTCAGATAAAATGCCTCAGACAGGTATTACGCACGATGTCACTAAGTGGACCTGCGAAAAATGCGCCAACGACATTTCCAACAATACTGATCATAAGGGTCAGTATGATGCATTGGGAAGAGATAGAGCCCATACTAAATCATGAATACAATTCCCGTTGATACGCCGACTTGTTCATAGCCGAACTAGGGGCCGTTACTACAAACCGAAGTGAACTGGGGGGAAGAAACAAGACATACGTAGTTCAAGTACTGGTCCATAGCATTAATTCCGCTCATCAAACTTCCATCGAATCCGGAAGATACGGCATTCAGGAATCCCACCATTACAACAAAATAGAGCTGTATTTGAGGTGAGTCTCTTTTGATAGGGATAAGCAAACATTGCGGACCTTGAACGCCCGCTTGCTCCTTGGATCCAATGAAGTGGTCTCTACAGCTTTTGAAAAATCGACATTGTAGGCTACATCGATCCGGCTGAGTGGAGGATTGTGGAGGTGAAGGGAGGGAGGTGTTCCCTTGATATCCTCATCAAAGAGGTCGCCTGTAGGCATGAAAGAACTAGACCTCTCCGAACAAGGTCCGCGAAGAATTATATCTGTTGATTTGATAGATAGGGCGAAAATCGGACCGTTCAGAGATAAGAGAATAGTGTACTTCTATGGGAATCACGAACGCTGATTAAGGATTTATATGGAGAACGGCACCTGGACCGACCTGAATGCATACTTTAATACACGGATGACTTCCGAATCAAATCATCATAGTATAAACCGGATCGTGGACCCGATTCACTTTAGATTAACCATGAGAAAAATTTGAGGAATTGAATGTTGTAGAACATTTGTCCTTACCGACTGATGAACGTCGTATGTATATTTGGAAGAGAACCGCAGGCGTTCCTGAATACTTCGCTCCGAGAAGTCATAGGGAAGACGGCTTCAACAGAAGGGACGCATGTGATGGTTCACATTCAAGTTGTGTTCCAGGCCCGAAATGGAAATCACCTTCGGAGACTCGGCCCGCGCCACCACACCACCACCAGCTACCACGAGCCAAGACTTGGCTTCGACTGTTCAGCGTTCATTATCTTTCTCTCACCTTCAGGAATCAACATAGAAGAAATTTATATCGTGTATATTATACGATACTCTTGAACGATACGTACGAGGTCTTCACTCGTGCACCTGGCACTTAATGCGGCCCGCGGCAGAAGAACTTGAAGGACCGTGGGACTACGAATCCGTCACCCATGATCTGTGGGGCACATTTTCGACTGTCTCGGTTGTCCAGGGGTGGTGTAAGTGGACGTTGTCTTTATTCTCAACCCTTCTTTTCACCCCTATAAGGGCTTAGAAAGTTTGTACAACCGGCCCTGCAAATGTTCAAGAACATGATCTCCAAGTGGATTACAAGTCTTTTTGCGATGGTATTCATCGTTCAGGCATCTTCGAATCAAGAAAAGGACGCGTTCCTCGACTCCCTTGTCAACGAAATGGCGATTCCTGAACTCGTCATGCAGCTCCATCTCATGTTTGCCGATAATGTTGTTGGGCCTATGTCAAAAAATGAGCTATATGGTACATAATTTATGCACTTAATTTAATTTCCGTGTGGCTAAGAATTCTACAGACTTTGCTATGCAATCTGCACCAACGGCCGGTATTGGCGTCATCCACGACTGGTATCCCACAGATCCAGAATATTATAATACACTCCAGAAGCTTAACCGCCACAAGAGCCGTCTTGGGATCCCGTTTATGCAACTAGGCGAATGTGTGCATGGTGTAGGATCATTCAAGCAGTCGATGTTTCCTCAGGCCATCGGAATGGGCACTAGCTTCGATCGACAAATGGTGTACCGGGTCGGGAGGGCCATTGGTGAAGAAGCGAGAGCTATAGGTATTCATGCATGTCTAGCACCTGTGCTTGATTTGGGGAAAGAACCGAGATGGGGACGAGTCCAGGGTAGTTTTTGTTTTCTCGATATCATGGGCTAATGAAAATTTCGCAGAGGATTGGGGAGAAGACTTTGTCCTTACGTCTCACATGGGGGTTGCGTTCGCTTCTGGATTGTCAAAGAACGGATCATGGAGCGATCCTGATGCTGTAGTTCCCGTTATGAAGGTATAGTACATTTTCTGTCCTGCGGGCGATTAGCTCATCGCATATATACAGCACTTTGCCGCACACGGAAGTCCGCATGGCGGAATAAATGCTGCCTCTTTCATGGGCCATGGAATGCGTCAGGTCATGATGGAGATGCTTGTGCCGTTTAAGGCTATTTTCGATCTTGGAGGAGCGAGAGGTGTCATGATGTAAGTGTTCATATATATCAAATTTAGCGCGATACTCCTGATTTAATCACACTATAGGGCATACCACGAATTGGATGAGATTCCTTCCCATGTACATCCATTACTATATGATGCATTGGAGGAGTGGGGTTTCGATGGTACGCTGATTATATAGTGTTTTTTATTCTAAATCTGATGCGTGCGGCGTAGGTTTTATCATGGCTGATGATACAGGTACCACATCCAAAGTATATAAATGTTGGATTAGCTGACCACTGACCAAAGGAATGATAATGCTGAATATACGACATACTGTGTCAAATTCACCCGCGGATACCATACAACAATGGTTCAACGCTGGCGGAAATCTGCAGTTCTATGATTACGATCTTCCAACGTACCTAAATGTGAGTTACCCCCACAGAACCTTATTCACATACTTAAGAGAAACAGTGCACTATTGATCTCATAAAGAACGGAACTGTGGCTGAATCCACTTTGCGGTCACATGCTCGAAGGATACTCAGTGTCAAATATGATCTCGGACTCTTCAATGATCCCTACATCCCCAAAGGCCTCGATTACAGGACTCTAACAGCCGACCATGTTTCTCTCACTCTTGACGCTGCCCGCCGATCTATTGTCCTTCTCGAGAACAAAAACGCGACGCTCCCCATCAAACCTGCGGAGCAAGGAATTTCTAAGATCGCACTCATCGGACCCTTTTCCGACATTCTCAACTATGGCGACTACTCAGGCTCCTGGGGTGAGTACCCTGTCGCCAATTCGAGCACCATCAGACAGGCGATGACGGGGTACCTCTCCGCCAACGTCAGTCTCGTGTCGAGCTGGGGCGCTGATACCTGGATGTACACTGCCCAACATGCCATACCAGGATACCATCTTTCCGTTAACGGCACTTCCGGTGGACTACTCGCTACATACTACTCTGATACCAATTTCACCCACGCAGTCTTCCAAGTACAGGAGCAGCCAAATCGGGACTGGGGACTCTACCCTCCCCTTGGCCTGCCTTCAAATAATTTTAGCGCGGTTTGGGAAGGTGAGCTCGAGGTACCGGTGGATGGGAGTGACGTGGAGGGATACATCGGAGTCGCAGTCTATGCAAACAATACGGGGCGGGTATATGTTGACGATGTCCTCGTCGCTCAGTCCGAGTTCTCAGACACTGGGACTGTCATGGGCGATATCCAGTCACTGAGCTATGTCCAAGTGAATGCGACGAGTACGCCACCTGGGGGCGCTCCGTTCACCTGGAAAGCCGGTGCGAGACATAAACTGAGGGTAGAGTTCCAAGCGTGGAATCTGTGGCAAAAGGTAGAGAATGTTAATTCGATCAACGCACAAGTGGACCTGTTTTGGAATTTAGTGGATCGGGAAGATGCAGTAGGAAAGGCTGTGGACATCGCATGTGAAGCAGACCTGGTGGTATTAGCCGTTGGTGCAAGCTGGAGTAGCGATGGAGAAAATGGAGATAGGGCTACCTTGGAATTGTCTGTGAATCAAAGTGGGTCTAATAAGCTTCCGTATACGTCGGTCTGATCTCTTGAAAGCCAAACTAGCTGACGCAATCTTCGCTTTGGGGAAGCCTGTAGTGCTGCTGCTAGAGGGCGGTCGGCCGTTTGCGATTCCAGAATATTATAGCAAGTCTGCCGCTGCCATCAATGCTGTTGGTGTTGGTGATATCGTCTTCGATCCCGACTGATGAGTTTAGTTCTTCCCAGGTCAATCGGGCGGACAAGCTATCGCGGATGTTTTATTTGGGGAATTCAATCCTGGGGGCAGAGTACCGTTGAGCGTGCCGTATGATGTAGCGCAGCTTCCCGTTTACTACAAGTGAGGATGGATTTTGTCCTTTGGTCGCCTCTTTTGCTGACTTGGGAATTTAGCTACAAATTTACGGATCACGCGATTAATTACACCGATCTGTATTCTTTTCCTACGGTATATTTGGTTCCATCTGGTTGATATACTGATAAATGTGCTTACAGTACTCATTCGGCTATGGCCTGTCGTATACGACGTTCTCTGTACAGAATTTCAATTCCACTTCTACCGGCGGAGTGAGGACGTTCGCCCCTGGTGAAACAATCACTTTCCGCGTGGAGGTGACCAACGAAGGGAATATTGCTGGTTCATATGTCGCTCAGGTATGAAGGACATTCCATTGATGCTCCCCTTGCTTACATGCCTCTGTAGGTCTATCTCTTAGTCCGAGTCTCCACCATCGTGCGCCCGCGGAAGCAGCTCGTCGCCTTTGACAGAGTTTATCTTGATGCAGGGCAGACAAAGGTGGCGACGATGGAGCTCGAAGTGGACAGGTATTTGAGAATTGTTAATAGGAGATACGAATGGGAGCTGGAGAGAGGAGAGTATGTTTTTGCGTTGCTTGAACATGGGGGTCCGGACGCAAATACGATGACCAATGTAACGATGCTTTGCCTGGGATAACTTGAAGGTAGACATAATATTTGCCCCGTCGGACGTATACATCAGTATGTAACAATAGTTAGTCAGTCATATCCTCCTGAAGATAAAGATGGCGGTAAACTCCCTCCGCAATTGACCTCTACGTCGTCTGTGAGCTCCAAAACCACCGTTGACGACGTCGTGAACACATCCCAATCCAGAAAGCAGGTTGATTTATATGGAATTTGGTTGACAGTTACGCTCTACATCGAGATTAGCAAAGCTCTGAGTAAAGGTAATTTCAAAGATACCTTGACATACATGCCGCTACCAAAGCCTTTGCTCACAATCTTGGTAGTGGAATTTAACAGGGGGTTAAAGAAGGATATCGTGGGGAAATACGGAGAAGAAAGAAGATATTGTTTTGTAGCCGGCAACGGATACATCCCGGCGAGGTAGAAGAAGACGTAGCTGCCCATTGCTCCTTTAAAAATGTGTTAATGGCAACAGCGACGGCTGTTCGGCCAAATGAACGCACCAGAATCTATCAGACCTCAGCTTCATGAAGTGATAAGGAAATATGGGCATACCATCGTTACCGGGTAAACCATTCAAAGACGTGTTGAAATATTTATGAATCGTCTCTCTTACGCGGCGCGCACTGTATCCAGGCTTGTCAGCATAGTGATACATAAAAGGTATCTGCTGTGACGGCTCGTCTGTCGAATCAAAGTAACCCTATCTAACAATGAAAGGTCCGATTAAATAATATGAAATGTACCTACGTTATCAAATATCCAGTCAAGTCGTCCGATGAACTTATCGACGCCTCCTTGCAGCTCTATGAGCGTGGCCGTGTCATGTGGGACATACTGCAGAAATGAGAATGATAATCGCGTTAAGGGCTCAAGGCGTACCTGAGAATATACGATAGGAGACGATTCATAGAATCCATCCCGGCGGATGGCATTCAGAAAGCATGTCGATCCTGTTGGATCGTGAATGCTACAGTGCCGGGGATCAGTGTAGTTCCACGTTCCATTTGCGAAGCGGGGCTGTTCATCCATCAGCAACCATCATGATAAGCAATTTGATGGGGACATACCTGGAAGAATCCGGAAATATCCTCTTCTATATCTGGGACATTGATATTCCCATTCCAAGAGTTCATGAAATTTCCTGCTCGGGAAGTATACTAGGCATGAGGACTTAGCTGTATGCTCGTGAAAGGAAGTACATGAAGTCAGACCTTTATAGCATCTTCGGTCTTGTCCAAATCCTTCGCTACCTGCGAGATAGAGAAATCGTCGAAAGCGTACTAATATCTTCCTTGTCGGCGCAGAAGGGCTGGGGGGAACTGTGAAAGAGACTCACCTCTATAGATCGCGAAACCTGTTTTGTGTTCGCGCCACCACGATACATAGTGTTTGAAGGAACGTAACCTTAGCAAAAAATCAGCCAGTAAGCCAGACCGACACATTGGGACATAGACACCGAACTCCTTCCACACGTCGGCTTGTCGGCCCTGAATGTTCCAATTTGGAGGGGTATTTTCTGCGTCAGCGAGAAGGGCGTTATACAGATCTTGGTCAGAAACACCCAAGGATGAGGTGTGGTTCTGATATCTTGTTATAGGTTAGGTCAGTCGTAGGCTTGGAAAATGGAAAGATTAACTGACTTGATGAAGAATTCTGCTAGGATGGGGTCACCATCTATAAGATATGAGAAACCTTTCGGCACGATGAAGATATTTTATGAACATACGACTGCCGCCTTGGACGAATCTTTGTTCCTCTTTATGTGAACGCAGAAAGGAAATGCACAGTAAAGAACGTACTGCTTTGTTCCCATTTCACGGCACTCAGGAAGCCAGCCCTCGTTCTTTTGAATATCGATCATCCCTCTAACTATAAGGGAAAACCTTTCGGGATCATGTAGCGACATGAGCGGAAAGAGGGTTCGATAGGTGTCCCACTGCAAAAGCAATGTCAGAGCAAAAGTCATGTCGCAAACAAGGAAACTCTGACATTACAATAAAACGAGTCATAATACGGCTCACTGGATGACCATCCAGGATTCTCACCCGTCACTAAAATAAATCGGTGAGTGGTTGTTAGGATGGTGGATGGAATATGCAGCTCACGATCCGCCGGAGCGATATGAGTCCGGTAAAGCTATTTTATCCCTTGTCAGGAAGACCATAGAGGATGGGAAATAAGAGGAACACGTACAGACGAGTACAGTAATGTCGTTGTATTATCATCCACGCCTTCAGTATCGACCTGTATTCGGCCCAGAATGTTTAGCCATTGCTCTTCGCTGTCCTGAAGGACCCTCTCAAAATCCCAATCCGCAATTTCTTGTTCCGCATTTTCACACGCCTGCTCCACAGTGAGCAACGAGATACCAATGCGTGCTAGAATGGTAGTGGGCCCAGATCCCGAGTTGGGAAACCCGACTAAACCACCGTGCTCGTACCCCCATGCTACAAAAGAAGTTGCTCGATAAACAAATCAAAGGAGACGCTGGCACTCACTGTAATAGTGCTGTTGGATATCTGTTCCCCAGAGATCGGGATAGTTGATCTTGTATGGACCGTATTCTACGGGCCCGCTGAATTCTCCTTTGAAGTCGACACATGCATAAGCATTGTAGCGAGCTATTCCAAACGAGTCGGCGAAGCTTCCACTAGCTATAGAAGTGTGAAAGGAATCTAAAAGGATGAAGGCTAGGAACAGAATCTGACCTGTCATGCGACCTGTCTCGGGGTCGATGAGCATTGTTATGTCATTGGTACTGACCTGCCCGTCGTTCGTAACATCCAGTAAGATCCTAGGTGTCGTAGATTCTTCGGGGAAGGTATATCGATGTAACGCCGTACGCCGCGTCGATGTAAGCTCTACTCTGATTGAGTTAGAGAGGTTAGTAGAAAAATAGCCTGGCGAGGCATAATCATCGACTGAACCTAATATTGAACTGTCGTCAGAAAATATGAATAACCCAAAAGTATTCCGAACCATCAGGTCGTATATGACGCAGTGTTTTCCTCGAATCGATAGTCGTAAGGCATTGCTCAAAGGCCGAACAGTTGTGAATGGGAAAAAGCTTGAAGTTCGATAAAGGGACTTGCTGTACACGAATTTCAGTGACCAGTCAGTAACGAGAAATCGAAATCGCCCACCCCTCCGGTCCCAGACTGATGTAGCTGAGAAAAACCTGTCACATTATATATGCCTTCACCGTCGTACCCTGCATGCTTTGTGTCGAAATGAGTTCTGGTCTGATTACCCGATATAAAGCAGCAGCTCACGTTTCCAGGAGAATCAGTGTCCATCCCTACTTTTACCATACCATGGGGAACCGTTGCACCTATCACATGTCTGATCAGTTCTCCAGATAGGCAGACAGTCAATCAATTGAAAATGAACCAGGAAAAGTATGCCCCCCATTGACGGTACCGATGAACAGATTCAGGTATTGGAGGGGGTCAGTAGCAGTCACCACAGATACGAGCCAGCTGTATAGTAGCAGCTTCATGGGTGCACAAAAGCGAGAAGAACATGGTCAGCTGATAGATTTACGACCCAGAGATTTCAAAGAGCTTCTTTTTCTGCCTTTTTGAGGCGACTCTCGTGTTATCCTAGGCAGCAGCGGGCCGCTCATGTTTACCGAAAATAAGAGCGAATTCCGATATAGAAAAAATACACAGCTGCCGTAGTAGTGTCCCTCCAGCCGGTGTCGACGTGAAAGTACATGTAAAAGACCCGAATTTCCAAATTTCCCCTTGATGCGATCATCACATGGCACCTCAAAGCGCTTCAAGTTCCAGCTGCTTTTCTTTAGCTTTTCTCTAGCTGGACATTTGAACTATTGTATTGTTCTTGGAATCAATGTAGATTGAAAGCTTCGCTATCGCCTTAAAAATATTTCTGCGTTCCGTTCTCAATGCTCGCCATGTTGTATCACGAATTTCCCGGGCCTCGATTCGAGTCAAATGGATCTCTGTCGTTTACCCAGCACTGGACCAGCAGCTAATCAAGTCGTGCTGTGCCAATCGAACATAAATTCTGCGTTTTCTCGCAAAAATCAGGATAGGTTACGCAGAGAAGACAGAGAATGAAGGATTCGAAGCATTAGCCAATCACTTATCCTGGGAAACAATCAATAACGGGATCCAAATGTTCGACAGTATTATTTCCCTTGGCTCCTCCTGTTACTGAAATACAATGTCAATTGATGAGATGCCTAAAGCGGGATCAACTCACCAATTTCTGCAACTCTGTCTTTGCATTGAATATCAAGCTTCCATGATCTCGATAGATGTGGCTAATTTTCGGGACAAGAAGCTTGTCGAATATTGACCTCTTTCGCCAATAACCCTCCAGGATACTCTATTTAGCTCTGTTGACAAATTTATCGATCAAGCGCGTCCTCTCCGGGCGCCCTATCCCGTTCAGCATCTCCAAAGCCGGATTGATAACCGAAGGTGGCACGACTCCTGCCATCTCCCAGTGGAGAACGGATGCAATCTTTGTAGGATCAACAGGACCAACGAGGATGCGAGATAGGTCAAAGGTACGGTGTTCAAGCATCAGTATGTTCCTGCAATCCTGGTCCTTCAAGACGCGTCTGGAGCTCTCATTGACATCATTTCCCTATAGCGTCGTTCGTTTATGGACAAGACTTATGGCACTCCTGTATAGCCCAAGACTCGAGATGCGATTGCTGCTAGTTATTTATCCGAAAATGCAAACGGACCGCAATGCCAGATGTTCGGGGGGTTAAGGATCGGGTATAGTACGCACAATCTTGGAGGGCAGACCGTCATAGGTCCCACAAAAAGACAGGGGATTGGGGCTTGGGAGTTTTGGCATCTGTATAGAACCAATCTTGAGCGACTGGTCTGTCCTGACGACGATAAATGCTCCCGGCCTGGAAGACGGCGCTTCGAGATCAATCATGACGTTGGCCACAGACACAGACACATGCCACTGTATTCGCCATCCATGGATCGCCAACTGAATTATCCAGCTAGGACTTCGAACTAGATAAGGGGAAACATGAGCGTGGACGATCTTCAAGCGGTAGCCGCATTTGAAGAGGAAGATGGAAGGTAGATCTGCGATGATCTCTACGGGTCTTGTACGGTTCTTGGAACGAGGGAAAATAAAACATTTTATGGCCACCGCACCGATGTTATCTCCTGGCATAGTCCAATAGAAAATCTTCAACCCATCTGCTCTCGGCTTGGTACGCGTCTTGTGATCGGAAAGCTCGAATGGGAGTCTGCCTAATAAAATTTGGGAACGTTCGTATATCAACCCATACGATTAAGGGGGAACACCCAGAAGCAATCTTTAATTGAGGAGAGCAATTGGTCATGGTTCGAAATTTAGCATTCAAATTTGGACACCGGCTTAGTCGCACCGGTTAACCGAGCATCTGGTCTCTCTTTTTTTGCTATAACCACTCTGCGATAGCCGGTTTGCTGTCTCTTCATATTGACCTAATAAATTCAAACTACGTACTCGGGAGATAATATGTGACGCGTCCCCGTCCTCCCGGACAATTCCTAAAACATCACTGCACCCCATAATGCCAACCCCCGGAACCCAATATAGCAACAAGCTCCTTCTGATATTCGTAATTTGAGCGAGGAGACTTTGTGAAAGTGGAAGATTACCGATATATCAAAAAATTACGATTTAGACAGCGACAGAACTTCTCCAAAGAATACTGGCTCTCACAGAACACAGCGTCAATGATCAGACTCATCTCTCTGTTAAAAATCTAAAAATCTTCGATTCTTTATTATCATGGACTTATCCTCCGTCTACCATCTTCATTGGACCTGAGTTTTTGTTATTTTTATTCCACGGAGCTTCAGGCCTTCAGGGATCGGGATCTCAGAAAGACTGAGACTGCATTAACCAATCTGCCGGTCGATATTTGGTGGTATGTAGGGGAGAAGCTACTAGTGCTATCACGGGATACCAAGCCTCTGAATGATATTTCTAGCTTAGTGGTAGTGTTTTCAATACGGAGTCTATTAGTCTGTAGTCACTATTTTCTTGTAGCCGCAGAGTCATGGCTTCGGGTAGCCATAGCTGGTCTGGAATTGGTGTTTTATAGGTCCCCTCGACTGTTAGGACCAATATCTGATATAAGAACCATGTCTGGAAGATCATTGCCGGCGGGACAATGTACAAACCGACCGCATCACGTTGTCGCGCTGACATCGGAATTGCCGCTTTCGGCAGGTCCTTTTTCCCCCCAACGGTCACCATCTCGTACGGCATTTCTTTGAGTCTTTTGTACTCTTACAGTACGCCAACATCAACTTGAAGTCTGAATTATCAGAAAATTTGTCCTTTACTTCCTCTTCCAATCGGTATGCATACGTTGAACATCTTCTCAGCCATGAATGTTTCCTAATTCCCTTGCCAGCAGGACATGACGCGGCTCACCAACGACTCCATCAGCTCAAACTCGCATCCCAGCCATAGAATCCGTCAAAGGAAACTGCAGAAGTACCAAACGACTCCTATCGCACTGAAATCGGAGCCAAAGCAAGAACAAGTCGATGCTATCATTCACCGTAGTTCCCCTTCTCCTTCAAAGGATCTAGGATGGGACCACCCCGACGAGCTGAACTACCTAGATGCCTCAACCTGGTCCAGAGACGATATCGTCAAACATGTCGTCACCAACTCATTTTCTGTCCCCGGGCGGACCCACCGTTCGAAATGGGCCACCATCACCTCCGAGGCTGATGGGTCGACAACGGTGGTTCCGAACGTGTATCGAATACCGCTTATGTTCGTGGGGGAATTTATGTGGAGCTCTCTTCGGTTGGTCCTGGGGGACGATAAGGAGTGGAACGAGTTCAAGACTGGGATCCTGCATGTGTCGAGGCTCTGTAAAGCGTTTCTGGACGAGATTAGGCGGGCGATGAGTGAAGAGGGTATTGGGAGGAGCTGGCGGTGTGCGATGTTCGACCGGGCACTGATTAGGTATCGTATGGGCTGGTTGTTATCCCATCCGAGGTATCTGAAGGAGTTTTGGGAGATGTATGGAGAGGAGGAGTATCGGAAAGACGCTGTCAAATTTGGTGAGCTTTCTTTTCTTACCGTATTTTGCAGTGTTCAGTTGGGGCGTGCTGAGAATGCATATACAGATTGGAAACGACTGGTGTTGAAGGGACTGAAGGGATTCCAACTTGATGAAGAACAGATCGAGACTGGGATGACGGCTCTTCGGTGGATGAGCGGGCTAAAGGAGATACGCGGCCTTTGGATATGGGATACGAGCGAGAAGCCGCTCTCTGCGAGGAACGCGCAGGATTACCTGGAAACGTGGCAACGTACGAGGCTCTGGGGGGACCGGCCCGCGTCACCGCCCATAGCATCAGCCGACTATCAATCCGTCGACACCCTTTCAGGGAAAACGCATGCTTTGGCGTCTTGTGATCCCGAAAAGGTGGTCGTACCTCCTGGCCTTGGCTGCGACCCGGTCGCTTTCCCCATACCCTCCCCCTCACCCGAGTTCTTCAAACTTCTCCGATTAAAGTTCCAGTCCCAAGAACGGCGCATTGCTGTGTTGGAGAATGAGGTGTCCTTGCTGAGAAAATCAAAGGGGATTAGAGAGACCGTTCATATTCCCGAACACGCGGTAACGTTTGTACCTACCCCCAATTTCCCGGAACTCTCTGACCCCGATTGCTCGACGAGTTTTTGGCGACACCCGTTGGAGCAGCTGTTAGATTTGGATTTGGACATGGAAGAGGAAGCTCCAACGGCGTTTGTTAAACGTGAGCCTGAACCTGAGCAAGTGCAGATCAGGCCTCTGTCACGATTGAAGGATGATGCATCAGCGCCCATAAAGTCATTGCGTAAATTTCAGAGGATGGAAAGCTGATAAGGATTATCATATTTATTCTATTGCTTATTGTTATACGCTGCTCATCCATGGATTAATTCCTTCTTCTCTTATGTGTCATTTGACTAGAATCAAATTTCCTCAGTGTGTAGAACCCCGGTCGCATAGCCAGAACGCAATTATGACGCTTTAGTATCAGTAATTATTGTGAGATGACCGATAATTACAACGCAAAGCACGATCAACTTGGCCCTGGTGAATCGTACCTGGTTAGTGCTGACTGCGCTATTATCTGTTACCCGGAATGGATGACTTGCCACTAGGTATCCCTCTTCATATTGAGTTTCTCCGGTACGCTGCCAGGGCGAAACAAACCCGCATCTGTTCTCCGAGTTCCCTTTTTTAATCGGCCTAACCGCCCCGGAGTTATGGAACCTGGAAAGTTTACGAATATCATCTGCGTTCGGAGAACTAGAGAAATGCAATCGAATGGTCGATACACCTTCTACGATACGGTGTTAGGCCAATTGACTGAACCAGTACCACTGACCTTTCAACTCCAGAGAAGAAAAGTATTTACCTCTCATTCTAATTTCTTGGAGATAATGAACTGAACCGGGTTTCTGTAATCTTAATAGTCCAGTGATTCTAGTAGTCAAGACGATGCCGCTTGACCGAGTCTACAGTTCAAAATAGCAGCGAAAGACGTGATTCCAGAATCTTAGAAAGTTTAAGACTAGGATTCATGCTCTCTTTCAACAACTCCAACATACCGTCATTTCGATGCTTGTGTTGGTGGGACCACCTTGGGTTCGATTCCCTATCCAAAATGTCCGTGCTTTCGGCTCCTGCTTGTTTTTGAATGGGACATGCACTTGATCTGACCTGAAATCATGAGATTAAGTGGGTACGTAGCCCAGAAAGTGATACGTGAACCTTCACCTATTTCTAATATCTAGCACCCGCTTCGAGGAGAAGAGGACTTATTCCTGAGATGCTTGCTACTCATCTCTCTAGTCACCCGCGCGTTGAATTATAACCGGGCGCAAAAATACGGACTCGAACATAGTGTGTAGGATGACATGGCCACGACTAATGAGAAGACTTCTCGTGGCAGCTTGGAGGTAATATAATTAAAGCATACATTGTTTTTTTGGTTCGGGGAGACAATCCTTCACTCTAATGCCAGAGTCAAGATTCAAGACCACGAACACGACATGAAATCAATGATCGCCCAACTCGAGGATCCAGTGTACAAAAACTCTCATCGTCGCAAAAATAAGGACCCTTTAGCGGGCGACCGTTCCTTTTTTTATTGTTAATATCTTCTTCCATCTCCAATGCGTGCAGTCATGCTCTTTTCAGATGCATGTGGTGTATCGAGAGATGGACGTTGTGACAACGACGGTCTTGGAGATGGTAAGAAGCGTTCAGTATTTCAGCCATTCTTCAGCTTTTTTATGAGCGCGAGGTAAAACTCGGTCGTCTAAGAATACGAGCTTCCCATACATAAGCAGGTGCCACTCGTAGAACTAGTATACAGCCATAATCTAGTGCCCTGGATGGTAGCGGCCCTTTTGCGATGTTTGGCCATCTCTTGACCTGATCTCTCCACAACATCGATGGCGGGTTTTGATATGCCTGAAGATAAGCCTGTCTGGCCTACCCTGGATAGGAATACAAACACCATCAGTTCAGACCAGGTAAACAAGAGAGGACAAAGGTGCACTTGAATTCCTTCCTATTCGGTGGTTTCATTAGAAAGCGAGTTGGAGGATTGATCGCAGTGATCAATAGAGACAGACTGAAAGGTTCCGGAAGAGAATTTGAAACTTGCTTTCCGTTGCATTTTTCGAGAAAGGGATTTCTTCTGCTGAGTAATATAGAGGTGCGCTCTGAATTAACAGGATATCATCTTCCCGTCTTTCCTAACCTCGTCGAGCATACGTGTCTGGACGGATATGACGTAAAGGCTGACCTTGCCGTCCACAGAGCGGCATCTCAAGGTTCGATTCCCCGTGTCTGGAATCTCCATTAGCTTCAAAACTTTTGATGTTGCTAACAAGACGAAAACGTGGAGAGGCTGCCTGTAAGTTGTCACTCTTTTTCTTGAAGCTTTAAAGAAGAAACTTGCTCTCATGACCACGATAGGAAAGGAAATAGGAGGGGTCGTCCATTTTGTGCATGGATAGACGACATGATTATATAGAAAATTCGCTCACAGTCCTCAATGCCCCATTCCGCCACATCTCGCGAGACAGGCAGTGCCAACTAATCAACTCCTGACCTGAATCGACCAGCATCGCCTCGACAATGTGAGATGAAAGAGCTTATCCCCGTTTTCGGAAGAATGACGGTTATCTTGCGGCAGCGTGGCGTCCGAGTCCCTCGATAAAGCTGAAGGAAGGGAAGGGTGACAGGACGAAGAGGTATCGATGTAGTATCTGGCATAGCGAGACACTTGTACATCAGCCACTCTTTCCCTAGCGACTTCCGAACTGCACTTCAGTTTGTAGTTTTGAGTCTTGACTGATGGTAAGCTCTGGGCGAGTCAATTAGCATACGAAAGGTGAGTACGGCAAGATACCTGCGTTACAATCACCACGTTGTTGTGTCTTCAGAGCATAGAATCCTATGAAAGAAGTGTAGTCCGAGGCTTGACTTACGGACAATGAAGACGCAACTACCCACAAGAAAAACCTTTAATTTATACGGGACATCCATATCCAGTTAATTGGAGCAGAAGCAAGCAAAATTTTTTCTGATTTGGAGGATATGGAGGACGCCGAAGACGGGATCGAACCCAGAAACTTGCAAGAGACGGCTCTAACAGACCGACTAATCTAGCCGGACGAATGTGTACATCCGATTTTTGGTTCTGCTGCAGTGATACCAGATCTCCTTCCTTTTCTCAAGAGGGAGACATACAATCCCATAAAATACAGGTCTTAGCGAGTGGAAGGACAGGGTTGCAAGGATTGTTCAACTCCGGTACCCTGCAACAGCGCAGAGTGTAAAATGAAGGCCATGTGAATGGCAGCCTCTTTCAGATGGACAACCCATCAAGAAAGAAGATCCATAGGAGAAGATACTACATCTTGAATCATGTCTTTGGTGTTGAGCAGTGGACCTGAGAACCTTGGAGGACACGGCAGCGAGACTGTGCAGTGACATGATGGCAACGAGGATTAGCCTGAAGCTGAAGCAAGAAAATAGATGTATATCTTAGCAGGCGGTAAGTCGCTAAGATGTGTGGCTATGCGAACGGTGAAAATTTCTAGAACCGGTAACTAATTTAGAGTCCGTACGACTGTACCTGCGGTCATGGCTCGTACCCTCAACATTTGGGTCTGTAGTGACAGTCTGATCGAAAGCAAAAGAGAAAGAATCCAAATCTTCTGCATTCCTTTCAGAAGAGACATATGTAACCATCTATTTTTGACATTGCTACATCAACGGGCTTGGGGAGGAGATGAAGATGGGGAGATTCTAGGATAGACCCACCAATGGTGACGTAATGATGGCGCCGATATCATGCGCACAGACCAACCCTGAGGCGTATAACAGACGGGCGCCTCCAAAACCCTTCTTTCGTTTCCTCCTCCACCTTCAGATGCTGATTCTACGGCAACCGATGGCCCGAAGTGTTGGACCTGCACCGTGCCGTTCCTGTCTAATGCATCCTATAATTTCCTTTGTCGAGTATCGCTGGAGAATTCGCATACAGCGTCTTATTTGATTCCAATAAATGAAAGAAAGGAGTCAAGAGGGGGCGCAGATCGGCATCGCTCGCGGCACACAGATGGGAAAGCATGGACAGGGAACACGGCTCTTTCGCCGACTTCATTTCCCCTATCCCTGCTACTTTCTTCTCGCTGAACATGTCTATTCCTTTCGTCAAAACTGTATCCGTGGCAATGGAAAGCGTCGAGGCTCTCTAGCCGGCAGAAAATTGGGAAAATGGGAGCGCTTTTTTCAGCTCTTCGTTTTTTGGGCGCTGAAGCTGAAGCACCATGTCGGTTTATCACAAGGTACGGGAATTCCCGTTCCTTCTTGGTCATTCTTGTGGACGGATCTATACGCTTAGTTCAAGCTGCATATCCTTCCACCATTGGTGACAGTCGGACCGTAGCGATATGTGCTGGATAAGATGAATCGATGCTCCTTAAACATGATGCGGATGAGCTGTCTCGCGTTTTCCTTTCTCCCACATAATTCTATATCCTACTGATATCTAGTTGATAGTACGAGGTATTGTCGTCAGTCGCTGCCGGTAAGCACGCATTTTTTGTGGATGATCTTGATGTAAATGAGAGTAACGCCAATTAATTTCATCCGCATTGTAGGCAGCCACAAACACAGAACGCATTTATGTTCCCGTTCAGGCAGAATCGCTACAGAAGGACATCAAAGTCGACGACCTCGAAGTCACCGTAAGCAAGGAGGACGCGCATCCGTTGGTCTTAACCTCGCTGCAACCCCCACGTCATCCTCCCTGAGAGCCGAGTGAAGGTATCGTAGAACATTACAGGTCTCTAATTGACATGCCAAGTCCGTGTAAGCTTTATCTCCTCATTCCATTCTTTCCGATTTGTCTTATTCCTGTGCAGATGGAGCCGGCGTACTACCAGCATTCACGATGCCCGAAAATTTTCGTGATGGTGGTGCCCCCAGAGGACATTTACAGGAATGAGGTGTATGTGCATTTTGGGGGTCTGTAGATATTATGTACGAAGAGAGATTCTGATCTGAAAGCTGTGTATATATTGTTATTACGTCAATATATCATTGCCGATAGAGATTTCCGTCGATATAATCCCTCCTCTTGGTCCGATATTGCTCTCTTTCAGCCATAACCGACTGTTACGTATGCTCCTTGCTCCCATGATTTGTTCCTTCACTTCTCGAATTCCCACTGCTTCAGCGTGAAGATGGTATAGGATCCAATATCGCATATGGTGTAATGGATAACGCTCCTGTGACTATTGAATGCGAAGGAATCTTCGTGACAGCTTTGGGTTCGAATCCCTGCATCTAAATTTGCCTTGATGCATGCATTCTTTTAGTTCTCGGGATCGCACTCCGAGCGCGCAATCCAGAGTCCAGACCATCTTAAAATGAGGACGTCACAGAAAATCAATGAGAGACCGGATGATTGTTCAAGCGTGATCGTAAGCTATTTGATTATGCTATCAAAGGTGACTGCACTGAACGAGCTATCCTTACGAGGTGCTATGCGGTTACATCTTCCCCCCATGCCCCAGTTTTATTTAACTTGAAATGCAACCACGCATTGAAGAAAGTTATAACCAAATTAAACGAACAGATTATTGCATCTACAACCGGATTATTAGGGATGCCCGTATCCCGTATACAGCATCATATGAGAAGATGGTGACCTAGGGCAGGTAAGCTTTATGGTTCAAGTAACTCATTTTATTAATTTGACTCATTACATACCGAAAATAATAAGTTTTGCCTACCCGTACGATACCCTACAAAAACGTCCGTAAAAAATGATTTCCAAACTGCTGACAATGCGGTAAGGGCCCGAATATACGCCGTATGCACGCGTACGGCGGGCATCCCTATGGATTATACAACTATTAAGCTAAAATATATGTAGCACATAACACCAACCTCATGTATCAGTAAAGTCTCGAACGATTTCCCGTAATCCCACCTGTTCTTCAATCTTCAAAAGGAAGAGTCCATTCCTATCGATCGATGGAGGAGACATAACCGACCAGAAGGGAGATTGCAAAGTGCGAACAGGCCATCACCGCGCTCCCGCCTAATTAAACTGAGCCATTAGTTCATTACCTCGCACTCAACGCACCTCTCAACAATGGCTTCCTCCGTAATCTACATCAGCAACAAGGACGAATAAGATCCTTCTGATTACATACGGATTCGATCTATCTGTGAGATGGCTAGTATGACCGCGAAAAATTAAACGATGCCAATGCCTTCGGAAACTAAGGATACCAATAGCGTGATTTTTTCTCCTGATAGTCCGATACTCTTCATAAGATTCGGACCATAGTATAGCAATGCTTTCACGCCACTCTATTCTGGAATAATTATCACTTAAACCGTCTCATAGACAAGATTTCTGAACGTACGCTGGAACTCCATCATTAGAACGCCAATGTCCGTACCCGTCGGTACTTTGTGAACAGCGCTCCCCAAGATCGAAGATCTCCGAGGATTCCATGGATATTTAGGTCGTCGGCATTGGGAGACGTTCTCTGGAGAAGAGTGGCTTCAGCGCACATCTCTAAAAGCCCAATCTAAAAGTAAAGCTGATTTGCTGGTCAAAGGGAAGGCGATAACTGTTACCTGAATCAAAGAATCCCACTTGGCTTCTGTGCGCGTTCGCCGTCTCATCTTTGCAAAACTAGCTAAAGCTTCTTCATACCTACCCTGAAGAACCAACACGTAGGGAGGAATAGACATCCAGCACATAAGCCCAGGAACGATCTGAATACCCAATGGTGTCCGCCAAGACGCTGAGCAGGGTACTGAGGCACACCAGGTATGTTAGCGAGCGTAGTGATGAAATGATAAATGCCTACTTAAACGCGTGAAGAACCCGAACCAGAAATTAAATACGACTCCCATAACGATGGCGAACTGTTCCAAAGCCATGAGAGATCCACGTAATTCGGGAATACTGATTTCAGCCATGTATAATGGTGAGAGCATACTGCGTAGTCAATATGAGTTAGTAGTGACTGGAAAGACGAAGGAAAAATGGACCTTAATGCCCCTACGCCCAGTCCCCCAACAGCGCAGTTGATGAATATATGATAAAATTTCCAAGCGCCACACTGCAACGCAGATCCTATACAAAATACAACTATAAAATCTATAAAATATTAGTGAGAAGCAACCGCCTTATGCAGTATAGACGCACTGCAAACCTCGAATGTCGAAAGTCTTCGAGAGTACCGGCGGTCGGCCAAGAATCCTGATAACACAGAACCGGATGCACCAAGCTGCAGAATAGCCGCTTCAACTCGTCTATGCAGGGTAGAGAGCTAGAGATGTAAGTGACGGTAGGAATGTAGGTCGGCGGCGGCGGCCCAGTGCACAGAAACGCGATGGTGGCTGCGCAGTGTGCGCATGTTTTTGGACTTCGAATCTTATGGCCACTCAAGCTACATACCCCATCCCCAGATTTATCCTGACGCTACACCGGGCTTAATTCTACTATCAAAAGGTACTTCTACGATATTTCTGAATGGCCGCTGAGTACTTAGACTTGGATACGTTTAATCTGGGTGCCAAACGGATTCGAAAAAATGGGACACTGGGATCATCTATCTGCTTATGTTCTACTCGCTGCTTGTTCAGGTTTCTTTCATCTCACTGTTACAAAAGATCTCGTTGTCGATGCCTACTGGTTGATATACTTGGATTCCCTTAACGCCATCCTCGATGATCGCCCCAAATTACCCCACCTTCCGTACCGAAAATGACGACTGACGAGGGAATAATTGCTTATTTCCTTCAATCACCTATCAAAGACTCTGATGTTGTTGCACCCTCATGAGTCTATATGGCGCCTATATGCTCTCGTCATCTGATAATAATGTTGAGAGGTTGTGGACCGGTTTGCCCAGCGTTTGTCAGGACATCAATCATTATTGCTGGACCCTGGTAGCCAGATCATGGGGCACGCTGCGCAAGACCGCATTGCTTACTGTTATCGTTGATCAAGGTTTGATTATCAGATAAGTGCCAACCGCTCGAGCGTCTTCTCAGCTTCGAATACTGCGCATGCATATTGAACGCAGCCGCAGTTAAAGCGAGTCTCTGTCCAAGTGCTTTCTCGCAGATCTTCGCTTTGATGAACAACACGCCAGCTAAATTCATTCATGCCCCTCGACGTCGAGGATAGATCCGTTCACTAGTACTCCAGATTCTCGACGCCCAACCTGCGGAATTCGTAAAGAGGTTGACTAAGAGTCGAATTCCAGGCTCAGTCAGCACATGATAGTTATCTGATGGACTGTATATAAAGTTGGCTCTCGTGGAACAACTCGGCCAGTGCATATTTCGCTCGTATCATTGTCAATCTCCAATGTCAGAAGCACAAGTAGAACAACACGAACCCGGACACCACGGACCTCATGGACGTCACGGACCCGGACGCAGAGAGCGACCTCCTACCACCCGCGTTGACTGGGAACGATCCGACAACTTCCATAACTCCCATCTGTTGCGGAAAGATGAGGCTCTGGATGCCGCGATCCGAAACAGCGAAGCAAATGACTTGCCGCCGATTTCTGTCAGCCCTGCAGCAGGACAACTCTTGTACCTGTTGGCAAAGTCCATTGGTGCGAAGAGGGTCTTGGAAATCGGTACGCTCGGAGGGTCTGTGAATTATATTTTATCCCTTGGTGGATTTATCTTAATCCTTACTAGGTATTCCACCATCCACCTTGCGAGAGCGCTCCCGGACGACGGGAAGGTCATTACTTTAGAGCTGAGTGAGCATCACGCCAAGGTAAGCACGTCCATTTCTCACAAGCCATGGACCCAACTCAGACATTATGTTCTCCAGGTCGCAACAGAGAATATCACCAAAGCAGGAGTGGCCTCTAAAGTTGACATCATTGTCGGCCCCGCCCTTGATTCGCTCCGAAAGGTTGCGTCGGAACCAAAATTCGACTTTGCCTTCATCGACGCTGACAAGACCAATATGTTGAACTATTTCATCGCAGCTAAGCGACTTTTGCGTAAAGGAGGGGCTATCGTATGTTGATTCTTTTTTGTCTTTTTTCTCTCCTTTGGCTCAGGCACATTAACAGTACGTGGACAATGTTATTCGAGGTGGACTTGTCGCAGACCCCGCCGCTGATACCAGTGAGTTTTCCGATGGTGTGAGGAAGTTCATTTTGGCAATGAAAGATGATGAGGAAGTAGAGGCGACTACAATTGGCACTGTTACTGGGAAAGGATATGATGGGTTTTTGTATGCTGTCAAGAAGTAGGTCTCAGTATGCCAAACGAAGTGGGGGTTGCATGCAGAATACAATTTACCATTTGTAATATACAGATTCTTGAGTTTTACTTGAATTGCTACCGTATACATGAGTTCCGCCAAGGCAGTCAAATTGTATTGCATAGAAATTAGATTCATGAGGCACTGTCTTGCTCAATACTTGTGATAATGCATGTGTTTCCAGATGCTGTAGTACCCGTGACCGGGAAGGCTGTATCAAAGAACATCAACATGAGCATGGCGACCAAGTAGCAGTAGATGACTTACATAACTTCCAAGCTGCAGCCATGGCCTGCACCAGCCTGATGTAGCTGTTGTTGCAGCAATCCCAATATTGCTATAGAAAAATCAGACCAAAAAGTGACATCATACAACTTGAGGGGCCATGAATGGAAATAAGATAGTAAGAATGATTCTTGCTTACTTTGACAGCAAATATAGCACTAGATGAAGGAAGAGGTGATCAGAAGAAAGAAAAAAAATGAGGAAATGGGATCTGCCACACTGATTCATGGTGTTTCCTGTGATATTGAGTACCATCAACATGGAGCTAGAGCCAGATGAAATCCTGACTCATTTAGACTTTGGCCATGGTGAAACCTTTCTAGAGCCATGTGGAACCACAGATGATGCATGCATGATGACACTATGCTGTGTCTGACTCATTGTCTCATGGCAACAAGCTGGCAATGGCATGGTAGCCACACAATAGGACTATACAACAGCACAAAAATAGTGAGACTGACTGTGACTTGTGCCCAGCTCACTGTAATAATGGTATTATTAGCAGACAATAATGTAGATACACAGCAGAGGGGTTATTATTATTAGACAATTAATAGACATGATGATGAGACAATAGTCACCTGTAGCATGAAGGGTATTCTGGACAGTATTTAAGACAGTAGTATACAATGATGTACTCTAGTTTCAAGCTAAGGTTAATGTACCCTAACTAAACTCCTTGACTATCAGTGTGACTATTCCTCTAGTACCAACACTAGTGGTCATAGTCTACCAATCTCCACATTCTATTTCACTCTCATCACCATCTTACACCCTTTATATCATTATCTCTTTGCTTTTTCATCAGCTAGTGTCAGACCCCAGTGATTGCAGTGACAGACATTGTGATTGTTTGGTCATTGCTTGACAACCAGGTCATATCTAGTCCTGGACAATTGTAATTCTTTTTGATACACAAGTGCACCCATGAGAGTAACACAGTTTTGTGCTGAAGATATGCAGCTCTAATCAGAAATGTGAGATGAGGGGAGAGACCACATTGAGCATCCACTGAAACTTGGATACATGGCTGTCATGTCATGAGATGGAGGTTCTGTATGCTGAGTGAAAATACTAGAACACAGCTGAGATATATTAATCTATTGCTGTTTTGAGAAGACAAATGATAAGAGGGAGGCTGTCACAAGCTCATGTATGATACATGTGCCTTCAATCCATTGATCTGCTCTGGGTGGCATTTTGGAGCTAAAAACCTTCAAGTGAAGGTCTCCTCCTTGCCTTGTCTGAAAACAGTAACTGTATTCTATTGACATCAAGTACCTATCATTCTTCTGCATGGAATATGATACCTAAGCTTCTCTTATCTATCTCCAAGGAATACACCTCATTTGTGTCACCCATCATTATCCCATACCATTCACTATTCTGGCCTCTCCACTCCAAACCTCATTTTTCCATTGTGCAACTGAGAGTATCTCTATGTTCCAGCTACATTTGGTGTTGGATTCTGTCTGTTGAGGTGTGAATGACTGGCTAGCAAGAGGTGTTGAATGAGACACATGTATCTAACCCTTTTCTGCCTCAATTACCCATACTGTAGACCATTCCTTAGAGAATTTTTTGTTTACCTGAACTCCTATACTTCATCCCAACAGTATATTTGCCTAGTAGTTTCATCTGCATCCTCAGTCATTTCACTTGTACTGCACTAACTGAGATGTGTTACTTAGCTCATATATCTATATACACTTTACTTACTTATTCCAATAGTTCTTACAATGTTGTTCTTGTTACTTTAAGGGGGCTTGGTCAAAGTCAAGACTCAAATCAATACCTTGGTGGGTCAGAAGCACAATTAGAGTAAGAGACTTAGTTACATACAGGGACTTCAATCCTTACCATTCATAAGCACTGATAGTACCATATAACTCAGTCCTGGATTTGATCTGTCTTTTCTCCAGAGACAAGTACAATTTCAATGAACTGAATGCATGACTCCTTGAAACCTGAAAAAAAAAACAGATGTTTTAAATGAAAGAGATGTTCTATTTCTATATGAATTGTCTTACCACATGTACCTGAGTCTCCTTTATAAGGGCATGGCAGTGATTTGTGGGAAGTGAAGGCTGAATCCCGGGTATCCTCGAGGCCACAAAAATTTTCACGCTGCCCGACTCGATCTCAGGACAAGGAAGCAAAAGTTATCCGGCCTATGCTAACTGATGACATGACCACTAAGCCAAATGGCAACGGTATGTTTCTGTTTCATGCTTTATGTGTAAGATAAAAAGGAGATATTGTTTCGCTATAGTCCTTCGTCAATGAAGAGCCCAGTATTGATGCCTTAAATGAGACTACCACAGTATGCATACCGGAGAAGAATAAATACCCACGATGTTCAGTATTGCAAGGTATGAAAGTCGATCATTAGATACTCACTTAAACGATAGACGCAATGGACTATGAGCTCTTAAACAAGTAGGAGGAACCAGGGATTGTGCCACTACTGTCGCAGCATATACCGTAGTGACCACCATGGTCGCTGTCACCATACAGTAAGGGCGAAAATTTTTGACGTTGCAGATCGCCGGAGATGGCTCTGCCATGTTTGCCGTTACGCTTGATATCGTTAAAGATTATATCTCCATTCTGAATCCCAGTAGATCTGATGCCCTTCAACAACAGCAAGATTCTTAGGAAAGTGTTCCAGCTAGTAAGGGTCATGAAAGAAAGAACCGCGAGAACCTGAAGAATAGCGCACCACGATTAAGCATCACGGTACGAGAAGGGGGCCAAGCTTCAAAGCTGTTTTTGAGGATATACCAGGAAGCGTAAAAGAGAATGAATAATAGAATAAGTACCAACCATGATTTGTGGTACTACCGCCTCACTCGAATGTAATTGGATTGCCATCTCGAAAGGCGGAAGATATCACAGTAAATATTACAAGAATTCCCTCTTCACCGTTGTCCTGTGAGCTGGCGATCGGCGTTGGTCGCCGTTACTATAATCAGTGGTCGAGGTATCCTTGGGCGCAACCTGGAATGTATCCTAGAAGAATTTAGTGAGATAGAATTGCGATGATAAAGATAGGACTCACGAACCCTCATGCTTTAGGAGGTTGGACATCTAAGGTGAGAATTAGAGGTAGATACGAGAGATGCGGACAGAGACTTTCTTGAAGCCCCAATCAAAAGACCCTCACTCGACCTTTGCAAAAGCGTGTGGTCCGAGTCGCATCCAAAGTTCACACACAAGTCATCATTGGCGATATGATAGCATCACGGCAATGAGTCTGACAGTGATGGAACGAACGAACATCAGGTGGAGGGTTCTGCATCCACCGTAACAACGGGTTCCATGTCATGTAGGGTGTGAATTCCAATAAATATGACCTAGAATTGGGTAGCTATGTAACGAAACGTACAAACCAAAGTACTGGGAAATCCCACCAAACAGACTCACGAGCGGTTTCCTTCAAATGATCTTGGTACTATCTGATTTCATGCTAGAACGCCAATGTGAGGGAACGCATTGCAGATTTAGGAATAGATAAATCGTATGCTTTACAGAACGCTTCATTCAGGCCATCAGGCCCCACCAATGCCATTCTAAGGTCTAGGCTGGTGTTGTGGATCAGCATTGAACCGCGATTGTGAGATTGCGCCATCCTGGCAGCTACGTTCCTGATGACGACGAAACCTGCTTATGGATCCTTCTCTCTATGGCATTCTGGGATATGTCTGGTGCGAGGGATAGAGCTAGTATTCCTTCAAGTTGCTACTGTGAGAGTCGATGGCACCGAATGTCTTTCGGTCCGTGTTTGCCCCTTTTGGTTATGAACTGAGTAGACGATATATATAATATGTCTACATACCGGTGAGGGGATTCCAACCGGCCTCTTGAGTTTATGTATACCACAGGCTGCAAGGTTCTATCCTTAGGATTCTACGAGCCATCATCTATACGCACCTCCGAACAAGGCCGCCTTGGAACGGGTGACCATTGAATAATGTACACGGAAAGAAATTAACCGCCCTGCATGTCTTTGAGCGGGCTGATTATCTGAACCTGTCAGTCGCCTGAGCTGAATACCAATTGGCATGTGCCTTCAATACCAGCGCCTGCCACACGATATGCCTACAAATCATTCTCCGGGCATATGACTACAATGTGGAGATGAATACGTCACTTTGATTCAATGTCGGACATACCTAAAGCTCGGTCTGGATAGGGAATGTATTCGTTCCATCCTGATGAGAAAGTCAGCCCTTCATCTCGTCGCGCAATAAAGTAGCATATGGTACGAAGGCACCAGACATAGACTATGACGGTCGGCCATACCTTGGTTACCAACATGTCTACCGGCCATGAGATATTCCGAATTTATGGCGGCAAGCACCCTGAACCGTCTCGACGAACCGTCGACAATAAAATGAAATCTCTTCATGATCAGCCACTGCTAAGGCCATCAGTGAGCTTGACTGAAATGTCCATTGATAAGAACACCTTCATACCGGTGCCAGAGTTATAGAATTTCCACGCAGCAATTGGCTCAAGTCCTTTAAATCCGTGAATACCCGTGTCAGTCGTGGAGCGCGACATCACAAGCTGCTATTGATACATTGAAAAGCAATCGAGTGGGCTGCTGTGAAATTGATCGTGATAATGATCTGGACTTCGCTACAGAGGACCGGGAGCTTTCGTATGCGAAAGCTGACGCTGTGCTAGCCCGACATGGAAAAAAGGAGCGGCGATCCACTTTCCAATGCCAGCCTTCGGGCCAATTCGCGAAGTGAATGTACCTGAATATATCTAAATATAGTCAATATCCTATCCGGTGTCGCCATGAGCAGGCTGGACACTCCACCCCAAATTGCGTTAACTGTGTAGTAACCTCTCTGCATCTGTCCGGCGAGTACAATAGCAGTACCTTTCTTCTATCTCCTCGCCAGACATCTAACAAAGAAGCAATCATCTTGATATTAACGCCAAAGCGAATGAATGATTGCCCAGAAGAACGACACAAAATGTGACAGTGCTTCGACTACTGTGCATTTAGGAACTTACGAAACAACTTCATTTACTGATGCATCTGATTTGCACGTCAAACTTATTATTCCGGGTCATCGTGAGGCCACCGTTGGGCCTGAAGGCCCTAAATCGTAAGTATATGCTGGACTCGAACATCGAACCATCTGGATGATAACTTTTGTGAATGGGGCTCCAATAATGAATCAAAGACGAACATTAGAAACTCGGTGACATCGTTCAGCACGTATGCTGCTATAACAAGCCGGTGCCTTGGATCTCAGGAATCTATTTCCTCTTCGAAAACTGGGTAGGAAAAAGTACAGACAAGGCAGGGCCGAGAGATAAGAAAAAGAGCTTGAACGCTATTCGTTTTAATCCAGTTTGAGAACTAGGAATAAAATGAAGTACCGTAGTAGACTTACTACGCCGGTGGAGGCTGCCGATGATCGCATATCGTTATTACATGTATAACGAGCAGCTAGCCACTTGGCGGTATTAATTTTTAGGCAAAGGTCCACGGCGAACTTGTATCGTATCTGCAATGATCACTTATACCTTAAGCATAGCAATCATCGGTTCACATGGAGCGTCATCGGTGTTTAATAGGAAAACACGTTACTCCGCCCCGACGCCGTTATATGAAATTGGTTTTTTTTCCAGCGGCCAACGCACTCACGGCTTGAATATTGATCCTCCCATAATTTTATCTAGGTCATCGTAGATAATGACCTTCCTCGCATTGGCTGTGCTACATCTTTTATGTCAGGACTCGGGAAACGGAACTGAACAGATGGTACGTGGTTGCGAAAGTTCCTCATGGTCTGTTCTTGACGTTTATATCACTGGGCTGCCGGCTGTGTATGATTGCAACTTCCCTAAATCTGACGACGGATGTAGGCAATTACAGATTTCCAACACAGGAGCGAAGCTGAATTTAATACTAATGTACTTGACGAATGAATATTTACTTAGCTGATTCACCAAGGATTTCAGTGATATGGAGTTATTGGTTAGGAGTTTACATTTTAATGGAAATCCTGGAATCGACGACAGCATAACATCGTTCCATAAATAGTACTCAACCAATCGGCACGGCACGTTGATTTCTTTTCAAGGATTCCCTCAAGTTTCGCAGGCCGTGGCTTCCCTACTGCCTAATCAATACATGCCCTGAACGTAATTTCGAAATAGCCTAGATGTAGAACTAACCATTGGTCAGTGTCTCGGAAACTTTTCATTTTAAGATCAACAAGGGTCTGCTTGGGGGAGAGTTACCTAGTGGGGACTACCCAAACAGAGAAAGGTACCCAGTGGATTGATCCTGGCGAATCGCGGGATGTGCATTGGAGAATATCAAACCGGAGAAGGATGAGCTTGTGATGGTAACACAAAGTTCTAACTGATGAGAACAGACGGGTGAAATAACCCCACACACTGGCTGTAAGCTCATCGGCCCATTGTTCCGTACAGACAACGACTACAGTTCTTCAGAGGGAATGAGAAAGTATATAACACAAGGTTACCTATACTCACTTCCACAGAACCTAGCTACGAATGGTTGATAATACGACAATCTCGCTCCCCAGTATCCATGAAATGTTCCCAGGTCCGCTCGATATTTTTCCCTCCAGTTTTCCTTCCATATTCAACTAACGGTGTCTACCTTGCAGAGCATATGCTCCGTATATCACCCGAAGTACGAATGAAAGGCGGCGCATCTCCGAAACTCATTCCGTCTCACCCATATGTACCTCATCCGCCACTACGCAAACCATTGATGGAGAAGACCCATTCAGACGCATCTCCTATTCCTCAGCAGCCATCATCCGAAGACGACAACAGCGAAGAGAGCAAAAAACACATCTGTGCGACCTGTAAGAAACGATTCAGCCGTCCCAGCAGCTTGATCGTCCACATCAACACACATACCGGCGCTATGCGTGAGTCTCTCCGCCTTTCGGTAATCCCGTATTAACCGCCACAGACGAAGCATACCGATGCTCACTTCCCGGATGTGGGAAAGAGTTCAACGTGAAGTCTAATATGGTCCGACATTACCGAAGCCATATGAACCCTGGCATAGGACGATCTGCTACCTCTCGCCACAACCTGCCCACCAAGAATCCGTACCCACAAATCCATCCATGGTCCATCTCGGAGGAAGTGCAGAACTCCGAACCGCAATATTGACACCCCAACACACGGATGGAAGAGGAGAGGTATTATTTGTGGCGCCATTGAGTGAGCGATGTTCTTTCGATGAGCTGTGAGGGGGAGAAGAATGTAAGAAAGTAACCCGTAGGCGAGACAGCGTCATAATGTGTCAGGACTTGACCTTCCTAATAGTTTCGGTTTCCAATCACGTATTTCCCTTATCGGTCGCATCAGCAGACAGACTTCAAAGGTATAGAGCAGAGATTACCTTTCCGCATTGCAGTATTTCTGAACGTGAGTGTCTGAGGGGCACAGGCTCGGTTCGTAAATCTAGAACTTGGGCTGGTGGCAAGCATTGCTTACGTGACACAAGCTTTCGCAGGGCCACCACCTTTAGCCTGTGCTCATATATCGTCGATCCTTCGAGCAAAGACAATAAGCAGGGGTAGAACAGAGAAAGTAATGGTCTACTCTGTCTCCACATCCCGCTGTCATCCTTGATGCGATCTTGACTCCTTGGCTGAGTCGATAAAACCACCTTGAACTTGACTTAATTGACCCTATAGCCTTGCTTAGTCCAGTGCATGTCCACACCACTATTACTCACTTGGAAATCCCAAACTGACATGTTTTTACAGTCATATCATGCTTAACATTAACACTAATCTCTTATCTGCACCTATCTCTGATTTTTTCTTAGCTTTAATGAGATCTTCAAATCAGATAAGACACATGGAATGACTGAGGAAGATATAATAGGCCATTTATCCTTTTACAGATCAGCTTGGGGAGAGATACAAAAGGCTTTGATGCTTCAAGCATCATGGTCAAAATATATGCAGCTTCCAAGGCCATAGAAAAATCATGCATCATTCCCATGGAGCTTTGATTACATTGAGATTTTGAATATCACAAACAAGAATTATATTGGCATAACCATCTTGCTCTTTGCTGAACAAGGGCTAATCCTTACACTACTGGCATCCTCAGTCACTTTATGAGTGGAAGGAATCTGCTGATTTGCTTCTCCTGGAGAATTCAGTTCTGTAAGGAAGTGAATGATCAGAAAAGAACAGCTTGATCTCACTGCAGGAGTTTTCTCTGTCAGCTTTTTCTCACTACCACAAGGACCTTCCTTCTGCTTTTGATGCACTCACATTTTTAACAGTGGTGACATGTAATGAAGAATTAGGCAAAGCTCCACTTCCTGAATGTGAGAGAGGAATTATGCTTTCAGTCAGAATAAAGCAGCATGAACAGTTTTAGCAAATGAATACTAAGCCACTGAAAGAGCTTGAAATGGAATTGATGTTTGCAAGTATAATATACTTATACTGCTCTGAATATCTCTATATATACTGGATGATGAGGAAGTCAAGAGAGCTGGTAGGGAAGTCATTTTTCTGGAAGCCAGACCAACCCTTTGACATTTTCCCACAGAGATGCACTGAGGGTCCATGCACCTGTGTCCAGGTATCTTCTCTCGAAATTTGAACATCCAAAACTGGCCTGTCTTCTCTCCTGATGACCATCCTCTCCTCTGCCTTCATTACTCTCTTCAATTCTCTTCCATGGTGTAGGAACTTTGTCTATTTTCCAACTCTATCAGTATTCCACTATCAATTTTTATGCATCACTCAGAATTAGTATGCTTCTCAGGAAGGAGTAGAGGACCATCAAGGCATCAACCAAGTCTATGCACTGAGATGAAGTAGGGTCCCACTGTGAGTGAGTTTATAATTCTCATTCTAGCTTTTGTTTCATCCATATTTCTTCTCAGATACTGTTTTTACAGTGCTTGATGTCACCCTTTACTCATTAGTCAACACCTATGTTCTGATGCATGTGTCTTCACTGGCCCCCAAGTTTATGGACATTGTTTATCCCAAGAGCTATTCAGCTGAATATTTTATGCAAATAATCTTTTACATGGTCAGCCATGGCTTCTTATCATCCAATTCTACTTCTCATTTCTAATATCCAGACTCATTGAGACCACCACTGTATACTTCTCTGTACATTCATGTCTTTGGGCCTAATGACAAGTTCTCTAATCTCTTGTGTGATGTTTATGTGATATCTGTGTACAATACCAATAAAATATCTCATTTTCCCATCATTCATTTGTGCTGTATGTGACCATGAATCTAGATCAAAGATTTGAGACCTGTTGTAACAAAGTACTTCTTATCCCAGCACTGCATAGTTTGAGCACTGCTACTCAATGGCATGGAAACCAGATGCTTTGATTGGGCCCAGCATTTATGTCCTTGATGAGCAAGTGGACAACAAGTTTGTGTCTCCATTTGCCTCTTTTGAGGATGGCATAATCCTTTCCTCTATCATCTTTATGCAGCATGTGCATGTTGAACATGAGTCTGAGAGTGACAGGGATGACTGTTTCTCCATACCAACACCTCAATCTTGGCTCACTGTGGTGATCTGGACAAAGAAATCTCTCCAGCACCTGGAAATGCAGGCTCTCATTCCAGCATGGTTATCAGAAGAGTTCTCATTCGAGTAACCTATTGATAAGTACCAGCTTCAATATCATAGATGTAGCATTGACCATACCATCATAGTTCAATCATGTGAAGCTCACTAGATGCACTAGTAGTATAATTTACAGAGGAATACCTCATGCTGAACACTTGTCTGAAATGACTATGGCACTGTACTGAGCCAAAACTGAAAGGTCTATCAAGACATGATGCTGAGTCTGCAACAAAGGGATTTACACCAAGAAGCACTTGAAATATCTCTTCCCATTTTTCATCTTAATGTCATACTATTATATGGCTTTCAATGGTTATATCAAACCACAGTCTGGCTCAATACCAGCCTAATGGGCCTGAGGCATACTTGTATGGAGTGGTGCTTCTCAAAGTATAACTCACTGTGACTATCTTCCTGCTGATGGATGCATTTATTATAACTTCTAATACTGAGCCTCTAAAAGAGATTCTCTGATCACTTCAGTCATCTTACAAACTCTGGTGTATTGGAATAAGGTCTGTATGCCATTTTTTTGTATTCCTCTCTCATTCATACAGACCATCTAACAGTCATGAACTCCATGCACTCTGCCCAAGGGCATGGACATTCCTTTGACTGTCTCATCTCTTTTTCTCTCATTGGTATACAGTTCTTGCAGGTGAGCACTCATACCAACCTCATCCTCTTAATCTCTGATTTGCTGTTATATAGTGCATGCTTGATCTCAGTCAAAGGGCTTTTCTCTCCTGACTGGCACTATGAGATTGAGCTTCATGCTGTCCTTCCTAGTGGGATCTTCCCCATAGATGGAAAGGATTGGCAAGACATACCAGGGCAGAAGCCATATGTGAAGAAAGTTCAGTTTATGATAGGGCCTTCATCAACAGCTTTCAGTCTGACAATGCTGACAATCAAAATGAGCTAGAATTTCAAGAGACTGAGAAGTATGACTTTCTGTTCTTCTTTGGTATGATGCCTCAGCAATAACTTATCATAATAGCATCTCTTTCTTCATTGGTATGATGGTCCCTGTCTGATGATGGATGAGCCTCACAATGGCAAGACATTTTGCACAAACTGCAACTGTTGCTTGCTGTGAAGGAAGGAAGGCTTTCCAATAATCCTCCTCACAAGTCCTTATGATCCCTGCCATATGTTTGATGTCCTACACTTCAATCTCATAATCTACACTATCTCAATAGCTTAAAAGCACCATGAGGCCTCATTGCACACCCACTCCAAGCTTGTACCATATCCTCTCTTCTTGCCTGACATCCAGACAACAACTGTGAAGTCTCAGCTCTCTCATAAAATGGCATTTTAGCAATGTTGCAGGACATTCTGGGGAAGAAAGTGACCAGAGAAGAAGAAGGAATAGATATCTTGAAATATTAGTTTTTCCAATATTTAGCAATATCTTTGTACAAGTTTGCCATCTACCTTTATCTTTAGCATTGACTATTTCCAGCCTTGTGATTCATTATTCTACACCTAGCTCCTATAAATATGCCTGGAAAGATATGGCATGCTCACAAACAGGCAGATTCATCATTTTGTTCAGCTTGTCTCAAGTCTAGACTGCTCACAATTTATGTCATCTTGACTGATTCTTTGTATTCATGATCTGATATTCTGTACTTCAGCCTTTTCACTGGAATGAGTTCTTAAATGGTTGACTTATTCAACACCTTCCTCCTTGCATTGTGTCATCTAAAACTCATAGGAGCAGCCATTGGAAACATAACAAGAGAAATACAGTAGCTCTTTGGATTACTGGTTTATAGATCTGATACAAAATCCTTCTGCTGAAGTCTTGTTTATACTTCAGATGTCTTCTTGGCCAATAGTAAAACTGATAGCCTGGTATCAAAGCCACTGGGAATATGTTGGATCTTCATTCTTCTGGTTGTCAGTAGACATTCCTTGGAATGTGCAGAATTAAACCTATATACTACAGGAACTAGATAAGTCTTTGCATCCCACATTATCTAGGATGTGAAGATTTCTCTTCTCAATTGCAGATAGAAGCCTATATCTCAATGATCATATACTACCTGGTCAAGAACAGAGATAAAAAATCTCCATGGTGCAGCACCATCACTCTTTTACTTCAAATTCCTCATAAATTCATGGAATGAGGTATTGATATACACTGGTGCTGGAAATGGGAAATGGGGCTGTCTGAAAATCATCTCTGATTCTATCAATCAACTTGAAATTGTCTTTGAGATATGAACAGTTGAAGGAATTCTTGCATGTTGTAGTGCAATGTCTGCATGTATTATCATGCCAAGACATCTTTATCTACCTCTGATAGAAAGCAATAAATTAGAGATTCAATTCAATGTGTTCTGGTAGAGGCATATAACATAGCAATCAGAGTTATCAGAGATTGTACTCAAAGTCTATACTACTAATTTCCAGGTGTATTGTTTGCACATGCTTTTGTGATTTTCACCCTCTGATAACTTTCTTTCTGCTGTATTTAAGAACAGTGGTAACAGAAACTTCTTTCTTCTCATAATGACTATGATTCTCCC